TTACTGGCCTCTGTACCTCAAGCTTGACATATACAATATCATACTCTCTAGGCTAAAGTATCTTTAAAATAAAATATTGACATAAACAAATTGAATTTTGAATAACACCAAGAAGTTAGACACCTTTAACTGGAACAGAGAGCCATGGATAAGTATTAAGCAATGAGGTTGTAGATATTTATGAAAATCAATTGATGGAAAATGGAATAACATGTGATATAAGAGCTTCTAAATACAGAATAAATTATACTAAAAAACCCCCTAATATGTGAGAGAGAATTAAGGAATTTTTCATTTGTTTCTTTGTTTCTGATCACACTTGCTGCATTTCCTTTCAATTAAAAAATTAATACAAGTTCATTATGTAAGATTTGAGAAATATAAAAAAAACTGAAAAAATAAAAATCATCTCAATTCTGTTCTGTAAACAGAATTAGGATTAAATGCTGAGCACAGTTAACATTTAATGTAAATCCTTTCTACTTCCTTTTATTCTCATGCATATATTTCATTTTCCAAAGAATGTACAACAATCACTGTTTAATTTTTTTCTGACCTCAGAAATAATATATATTTAATTTAGAAAACAGAAAAGCACACACGCAAAAAACCACCATAAATCACCATAATCCTTTCGTTCACAGGGACCATATTTTATTTGTACTCTTAAGCCAACAGCTAATACATACCATATTTAGGCCGACTGTATTGCCTGCTTAATATATGCTCCATTAATAAAGAGATCATTTGCCCATACTATACTTAGAAAGATAACATATTCTAACTGTTACATGGTTACAATGTTGTAACCATGGCTTGAAAGGAAGGAAGGAAGTAAACCCATTTATATTAGAAAATGATTCTAAGGCTTACTCCTTGAACACCCTACTTTTTTATTGCAAGAATTGACCTTTTTCAGATGTCCATTGCTCAAATTGTGTATTGCATGCCAAAGAGTTAAGTCAGATTACTGCTATACTTTTCACAATCTAAGTTCCACATCTCTATTTGTATTTCAGTGGAAAGGATCCATGGTGCACCAAGTCATTAAGGCTCTAAGATCTTTGTAACTCTTAATGGCAGTCCACCAGGGAAAGCCACTGTAGAGCAAAAAATAGTTTTAGGATTAAAGGGGAAATCCTTGTTTGCAATACTGTTGCTGCTGTGTGTACTACCTCCTGTGATGTAGCATGAAAGGCTTTAGATATAAATCTAAGGTTTTGCAGACTAAGCACCCTCATCAAATAGTATTTATTGGGGTTTATAGCTGAGATACTGTTTTACTTAGAAAGTAGATGCAGCAGGAAATTTGACTGAGAATAGGAATTTTAACACAGATACACATATTAACTTTTCCTGCAATGTCTTCTTAACCTAATACCCGAAAAGCATATACTTAGTGCTTGTAGTAGAAGAAATTTATAAAGAGAGAGAGTTTTCCATTTGATTAAATTCTCCATTTATGATTCATTTTTTCCCTCAAATTTTCTTTTTTAATTTTTTTAAAGGTGTATTTATTTTTGAGAGAGAGAGCGAGAGAGAGAGCATGAGCAGGGGAGGGGCAGAAAGAAAGGGAGACACAAAATCCAAAACAGGCTCCAGGCTCCAAGCTGTCAGTACAGAGCCTGAAGCAGGGCTCGAACTCATGAATTGGGAGATCATGACCTGAGCCAAAGCTGAATGCTCAAGTGCTCAACTGACTAGGCCACCCAGGTGCCCCTCCCTCAAATTTTTGAAATCCACTTTAGAGGTATGCAATGACTAATGTGATTTCCAATTTCTTCTTCTCCTTATCTGCCTACAGATAAACCAGGTCAAACTAGGGATAAGTTACAATTGAGGAAGTATGTTCTACCTTTTACCACACATGGGGAAAAAATTAGGTAGTATATTCTATATTTTTAACACTCGAATGAATCTCTTGAAGTGGTAGCTGAACACTATAAACATCTGGGTTGAAATGAAGTTCAATCTCAGAAAGTTGTGAATATTAAAAATTTTGGACAATGAGGCAAATTGTGTTTTTTAGGAAACTGTTTTCTGAGATGCTACCGAGGAAGCAAAAATGAGGTTGAAAGAAGAGGTTTCAAAGTGGGAGGAGAAGGGGCTGAGAGAGGACTGGGTGAAAAGGTTAGAGATAAGATGTCTAATGAGGCATTCTGTGGGAGCTGACTATAAAGTAAGTGCAGGTGACAAATGATCTTTGACCATCTTCCTGGTTACACTGTTGATTGTGAAAAGAAGATAGAATATCTAAGGTTTACTTGAGGGAAACACAAAATTTTGCACAAATTCCCCAGACTCAAATATATTATGTGCAAAAATTTGAAAGAAATAAAGTCACTTCTTCAAGTAAATAACAAGGAAGCAAATGACCTCTCTTTATATTACTTATCTGACTTTAATTATACTCTATATGGCAATTACCTAGTCTCTGTGGTTTAGAAATTCAACAGTTGGTAGGGGTGGCTCTGTCGGTTAAGCATCTGACTCTTGATATTCAGCTCAGGGGTTCAGGTTATGATTTCATGATTCATGGGATCGAACCCCCACCCCCACCCCCTGGCTCGCCCCCTGTTGGGCTCTGCTAACAGCATGGAGCCTGCTTGGGATTCTCTCTCTCCCTATCTCTCTGCCCCTCCCTTGCTCTTTCTCTCTCTTTTTTTCCCCAAAATAAATAAACTTTAAAAAAAGAAATCCAACTGTCGAGATTATGATAAATTTGGAAGCCTATTAGAAAGCTCTGAATAGTTGAAGACACAACTGCAGGTTCTTCTTATAGTTGCTGAATTCAAATGGGACTTAATTGTCTCCACCGAAGGACACAAAACCAATATAAAAACAGGGAGGGTAACAAAGCACAAGAGACTCTTAAATATAGAGAACAAACTGAGGATTGCTAGAAGGGTGCTGGGTGGGGGTATAGGCTAAATGGGTGAAGAACATTAGGGAGGGCACTTGTTAGGATGAGCACTGGATGTTATATGTAAGTAATGAATCATTAAAATCTATACCTGAAATCATTATTACACTATATGTTAACTAACTTGGATATAAGTTTTAAAAAATAAAAACAAAGTATGAGGGAATATTGAATAAAAGAAAGAGGTAAAGAAAATCAATTATTTTATTAAAAAGTGAGAAATTACTTTTAAAATAGTTTGCTCTAGGCTTGATTCACTAGCAAATTTTTGAAATTCAGATTTACACTTTTTAGCTATACATTTCATATATTCAATATATTCTATTGGGCTTGAGAGTGAGGATTAATTTTATATTTGGATCCTATCCCTTCTCTAATATGTGTTATATTTATATGCATATAACATCTATATATATTGTTATGCATATATAACATACACTTATATGTGCTGATCATATATACTGCAGTCAGAATGTTAAATTATAAGGAAAGTAACCAAAATCACCAAAAAATATTTATATATATGTTTGGATTGTAATCTATTTATTAAGGTTTAAAAAGTATAACATACTTTAGATAATATTTTCAAGTGGGGTTAGAGGTGAAGAAAATGTTTTTATGGTTTTATCACTTCTATTTATATTGTCAATATCTTCCTAGCCAGAAAATAAGTTTAACTGAGGAAAAGGGATATTTACAATATATGTCCCTGCTTCTATACATTATTGTATATATCTTCTTGGAATGCCTCTCTTTTCTCTTCTCAGTCAATTGTAATATTGGTACATACTAAACACTCAGATTATGACTCAAAAGAAATGTTAGCCATCCTTTGAAGACTATCTTTTGTTCTACTAACCACACAAACTGTTTTGTGACTTCCTGAAGTCCACGGTGACCTTCTTTTTCTGAACTCACATAATACTTAAAATTTATACAAATTTTATATCACTTGATATCTTTCCAAATAGTCATTATTTTCTTTGTTCATGTATATCTCATCTTCCTGACTAGTTCTATGCCATTTGAGGATAGATATTAGGTTTTGTACTTCTCTATGTCACCATGGAACTTAGCTCAAAGCCTTGTAAATAGAAGTATAATAGTTATGAGTGTTAAATATAACCATTTAAATGACTGTTTAATTATATTGCTCTGGTATAACCCATGAAGTTTGCCATTTAGAAGACACTTATAATTAATCTTTTAAAAAAGAAAGTGGGGGTGGGGGGGCACCTAGCTAGCTCAGACAGTAGAGCATGCAACTCTTGATCTCAGGGTTGTAAGTCTAAGTCCCCTGTTGGGTGTCTAGATTACATAAAAAAAAAATCTTTGAAAAAGGGGGCACCTGGATGGCTCTAAGTTAAGCATCCAACTTCAGCTCAGGTCATGATAGCACAACTCATGAGTTTAAGTCCTACATTGGGCTCTGTGCTAACAGCTCAGAACCTGGACCCTGCTTCAGATTCTGTGTCTCCCTCTCTCTCTGCCCTTCCCCTGCTCATGTTCTGTCTCAGTCTCTCTCAAATGTTTTTTTAAAAAAAACATTTTTTTAAAATCATTGAAAAAAAACAAGATATTTATACTTGTTTACTCTAAGCTTAATGGGCGGTGGGAATTAAATGTTTTTTAATCTTGATCTTGTTTAATAAAAATTTAACCATGTGTTTTGTGCTACATTTGAAAACAAGATATTTAAATATGTTGTAGATAAACACTGTAAGAAAATGCTATTACTATCTTTGACTGTATCTGAAAACATTATCTAATACTGAAGCTCTCCAGTAAAAGTTTTGGAATAATCATGCACCTTTTTTCCCTCTTTAGTTCAAAGTGGAATGTTTTTACCTTTTATATGAAAATCATAACTTAAAATTTAGTTTTAAGAAGTAGCGTACTTTTCCTAGATTTAGGATTTAGTTTTATTTCAAAAGATGTCTTTATAGAGCTTGAAATGGTGCTTTTCAATTAGTGATAAGACAAACTTATATGTCTTAAGTATTTTAGACATGTGAATACTAAATATTTTTGCCAAATCTGTACTCAAATTGTTTTTTAATACTTTCTTTTTACATAGTAACCACCGTTGGCTATGGATTGGTTTAAATAAAAGGAGCCCAGATTTACAAGGATCCTGGGAGTGGAGTGATCATACACCAGTAAGTTTAAACTTTCTTGTTTGGGATAATATAAAGGGATCATTTGTTTCAATATCAAGTGAATTGATTGTTAAATAATACATCCACATACCATACAAGTGTTAAAATTATGAAGAAGTATCTTTATTGAAATAGAAATCCTTTCACATATAGGAAGCAAGGGGAAAAATTACTAATCGCATTTTTATTTTAAAAAATAACCGTATACAGGCACCTGAGTGGCTCAGTTGGTTAAGTGCCCCAGCTCTTGATTTTGGCTCAGGTCATGATCTCGTGGTTCATGAGATCTAGCCCCAGTTGAGGCTTCGCACTGACAGCTCAGAGCCCACTTGGGATTCTCTCCCCTGACCTCTCTCTACCCCTCTCCCATTAATACTTTCTCTCTCTCTCTCAAAATAAATAAATAAACTTAAACATTTTTAAATTAAAAAATAACCATGTAGTTTCCCTATAGTCCAAAAAATATGGACACATAGATATAGTGGTCATCTTTGGAAATTAAAGGTTTTTTTTCTTTTTCTTTGTGCTTTTTATGTCCTATTTTTCACAATGAGAAGCTTCTATTTTTATTATCTAAAATATTTCAGTCATGTGAAAAAGAATATGTCTTTGTTGGGGGAAATAATTTGTTTGGGGAAACCTTAAAAAGACCTTATGTGCTATTTCAAATGTTTATATTATCTTAAAGAGAGGTTTTAGGTAACATTTATACGAGCAAATTATTCTCAAATTTATTGAATATTTACTCCACATTACCATTGTGTCAATTCACTGTATATTCTTTCCAAACACAAAATTCCTTGATTTTCAGTTTTAAGTGGGAGCATATCTGAAATTAGTTAATTGAATAACTAGCATTTCAACAGATGCCCAAAAAAAAAGGTCTTTTGTAAACTCCTGATTCTCTGTGATTCTAGCTGCAAACTTAATACACTGTTAACCTCCACTTCTGTAACTGTAGCTTCCTTTGTTGGGAAACTGATGGCAGTACAATGTTTTCTAAGTCATCTCATGATTTAACATCCTAATATTAAAAAAGAGAGAGAGAGATGAAAAAGTTTTCCTTCCATGGCATGTGAATGTGTTTGAGTTATTAAAGCTTCCTAAATTACATCTAAATTGCAAATATTTATACATCAGTCTTAAGTTCTCAACTCTCTCTTGTTTTTTAAGGTGTCTACTATCATCATGGAAAATGAGTTTCAGCAGGATTATGATATCAGAGACTGTGCTGCTGTCAAGGTCGGTACAATGCTGGAAAATCTGCATATTAAAAATAAATTTGGCATTGTGTGCAGTCAGACAACAGATCCACAGAATGCCTTTTGTGTGTGGAGCATGATATTGGGTGCAGTGGGAGGTAAGAACCAAGCTACCTAACTTACACTTAATTTGAGAAGATAAAATTCATATTCAAGAAAAATGGCTTATTACTGTATAGTAATAGGCTCCAAGTGAGTGGGTTGAGACACATTAATGAAACTCAGAACAAGTGATTCCTGTGGCCTGTTTCCAGAAAGAGCTGGGACTTGAACTGTGCTTTTGTACAGGCAGGATAAGGAAGCCTTTCCAATGGGGGATGGCATGAGGATGTGGCATAAAATAAAGTGAGCACTGAAGGAAGAGGCTAAGGCAGTGAGAACAGAATACCGAGAAGTTTTCTTTGGTGCTATGGTTGAAAACAAAGTTGGGGGCACGTCTGGGTGGCTCAGTTGGTTGAGTGTCTGACTCTTGATTTTGACTTAGGTCATGATCTCACAGTTTGTGAGATCAAGCCCCACAGTGGGCTCTGTGTTGACAGTGTGAAGCCTGCCTGGGATTCTCTCTCTCCCTCTCTCTATACCCTTTCCCTGTACTCAAGTGCACTCTCTCTCTGTTTCAAAAGAAAAGAGAAAAAAACAAAAGAAAGAAAGAAAGAAAGAAAGAAAGAAAGAAAGAAAGAAAGAAAGAAAGAAGGAAGGAAGGAAAGAAAGAAAGAAAAAAAGAAAGCAAAGTTGGGAAATTAGATTGATGGTAGACAAGAGCATTATTAAAGATTTTTTAAAAAATTTTTTTGTTTGTTTTATTTATTTTTGAGACAGAAAGAGACAGAGCGCGAGTGGAGGAGGGGCAGAGAGAGAGGGAGACACAGAATCTAAAGCAGGCTCCAAGCTCCAAGCTGTCAGCACAGAACCCGATGTGGGGCCCAAACCCACGAACCATGAGATCATGACCTGAGCAAAGTCGGACGCCCAACCGACTGAGCCACCCAGGCATCCCAAAGATTTTTGACATGAACCAAGGAGGGCAAAGAAGATTCATCTCAAGTCAGATTTCAAGATGCAGCAGATAGGATCAGAAGATAATAAAAGATCAGTTAAGCATCTTCCTTTGCAAAGTTCATTCATTTATTGATTCCATTAATAATAGATCAAGCATTCTGTGATGCTCTGGGGGATACAACAAAGACAAGGTGTAAAACAGTTGTTGTCTTCACAGAACTTAAGACCAGTAGGAGATAAGTAAACAAGCGATTACAGGAGCTGTGACAGGTGAAGTATGTTTTATGCAAAAGCAAAAAGTAATGGTGGGAGATGATGATGATTGACAGCGGTAATAGTGATGATGGTGGCAGCAGCTAATACTTGTGGATTCATGAGCTAGGCACAGCACTAGGCATGTCACACTTATTGCACTTAATACTTACGTGAACTTGTGAGGTAAGTACTATTACCATATTAATCTTATGAGGAAGAAATTGAGTTCTGAGTAAGTATACATGATTATAGAACTGAAATTTAACTTCCCGTGTCTGGATTGACCCTGCTGTATGACTAGGCATTTATAGAAACAGTCAGAAAGGGTACTTGTTTATGGAGAGAATACTACATTTTAGTTTAGATATTTTGAATTCAAACTAGTAGCAAGAATTATTCTATAGTAAGTTGAAATTAAGAGGCTGGAGTTGAAGGAAAAATGTATATTAAAAAGTACAAAGGGCTGGCGTGCCTGCGTGGCTCAGTTGGTTAGGCCTCTGACTTCAGCTCAGGTCATGATCATGCAGTTCGTGGGTTTGAGCCCTGCGTCAGGCTCTGTGCTGACATCTCAGAGCCTGGGGCTTGCTTTGAATTCTGTTTCTCCCTCTCTCTCTCTATCCCTCCCCGTTCACACTGTCTCTCAAAAATAAACATTAAAAAAAATTTTTTTTAAAGTACAAAGGGCCAAAAGTGGATTGAGGGGAATCACCAACACATAAAGTACAAGATGAGGAAGTAGGAGACCTACAGATTATATCTTTGCTATGCAAGCCCAAGAAAAAGATTCAAGAAGATGATTGTAGAAGTGCTGCAGGAAAGTTGAGAAAGGAACTCAGAAGGCCATTGGAAAACACTATTTTCAAAGTAACTGTTCTAGCAATAAACTGTATAGTATCATGACATTTTTATAGAATTCTCAGTTTAACACATAAGAAGATAAAAACTTCAGAGAAGCTCATAAAGTTTCCAGAACACTATGTTATGGAAGTAGAATTCCTATGTGTGAAGAGATTCAAAAATCTACCAAAGAACTAAATGAGACAGCCGCTGATGCTTCCTGTGTCAGGAACACGGCCAGCCAGGGCTGTGGTCTAGAAGGAGATTCTCACCTAACCTGCCACAGTACCCACCAGAATCTTGGCCATAAGAGAAAACAGTCCAAAAAGTGGTGGCAGTTCCTCTCAGGTCATGCCCTCTCCTTTCCTTTCTTCTCTGCTTGCTGGCTGGGGTTTGTAGAGAGCTATCTGGGATCACACAGAGGGAGCTAACATCCTGGCAGTGTAGAGCAACAGCACAGCACGCACCTAGGACCATGATGTCAGCCTCTAACGTCATGTTTTCACAGGTCTGCTTTCATCACAGTCTGCTATTTGGAAGCCATGGAAGTAAATATTTTCTGGCTTGACCTTTCTCTAATTTAAAGGTGCAACCTACAATTTTGTATCAACAAGAACAGAAAAAAAGCGCAATAATTTATATTTTGGACATAAACATGACCTTATTATAAACATGACCTTATTTCCTTTATCAACTTCTTTGAAGGTTCTTGATTAGGCTATTAACTGTTTAAACACTGTGTTCATTCATTAAACAAATATCTTGGGTTCTAGAGCTAAAATAAATTAAAGACTAGAGGGCCTAAAGTTTAGTGTTTTATAAAGCTGCATTGACTTCAAAATAGTCTGCAATTCTCTTCCTCCTTTAGGGCACCCACAGGCCAGGACGAAGAAGCTGGTATTTTTATAATGACAGAGACTTTATTCACTTAAGACCTTTTGCTTGTGAGACAAAACTTGAATGGGTATGCCAGATTCCAAAAGGTAAGTGGTAGTTATTTCTTTTCACAGTCTTCTCATGTAAACATTGTAAATGCTGAGACTGAAGTGACTAAGAGAGCATTTTAGTCTGTAATCATAATTTTTAAAAGCCTATAAAGGTATAGTTAATATATTAAGCTCCATCCTGCCAGACTCCTACCCTGAGTACAAGGCTGGCTTATTGAGATTAGACAGTACCTTCCTCTTTGATCATGGAAGAATGTGTAGAAGATAAAATTTAAGATGGACTTAGAGAGATTAAATTTGGGAATGAAAGATTAGCTCAACAAAAAGAAGATACATAATGGAGGGAATTATTTCAATTTTTATTTTGATGCAAAATGAAGATAAACTTGAGAAGAAGGAGGCAAGAGTCAAGAAATCAAACTTTACCAGGTCTCTATAACATGTAGAAGCACTTTGCACTCAACTCCAACACTGCTAATAGTTAATGGAATTCAAATTCAAATCCAGGAAACCAGTTGGCTTGATACTAGAGACTTTGGTGACAAAAAGGAGAGAAGGGAGAATAAAGAGATACCTTTTTATTTAGATTGTTACAAGGAAAATGTTAAAGAAATACTAAGGAAAGTGTTAAGAAGATTTTTTTTTTCTTAATGTTTTATTTATTTCTAGGAGAGAGAGAGAGAGAGAGAGACATCGTGAGCAGGGGAGGGTCAGAGAGAGAGGGAGTCACAGACTGAAACAGGCTCCAAGCTCTGAGCTGGCAGTCAGCACAGAGCCCGACGCGGGGCTCAAACCCACAAACCGCGAGATCATGACCTAAGCGAAAGTCGGACGCTTAACCGACTAAGCCACCCAGGCGCCCCACGGAAAGTGTTAAGAAGATTTTAAACACCTGAATTATTTTTTAATAATTAAAAAATAGTTTTAAATAATTTTATTGGATATATTAAATTAATTAGTGGTAAATGCACAGAAAGCTCAAAAGGAAATTTCTGAACTGAATGTAAATCATTGGAACTAAAAGTAGATCCTCTTCTAAGCTCTCAGAGAACCCAGAGTCTTCCTTCATGCAACTACTTATTAGAAGAATGTTCTTTTTCCATAAGAAAGCCACCATATTGCCTTTAAAAGAACTTCAGACATGATATCCAGTACAGTAACTGGAAAGTCTCTTTCGCAAAGAAAACTGGAAGGCTATTAATAAACTGTGTGTGTGTTGAAAGGGTTTTTCCAAGAGAGAAATTATACCTGAGTTATTCCTGATTATTTGATTAAGACTGAAAAGGAACAAAGGGAAACCAATTTGGTTACCCTTTAAACAAGCAGAGAAGCACCTAACGTATATGGCAAATTTGGATAATTCTCTGGCTGGAAGCAAGAGTGGGGTGTTCCCATTAGTCTTTGGTATTTGCTAACATGCCAGTGTTGATGGCATGTCATTGTTGTCAGTGTTGATGTCATTACTCCCTCCAAACTGTGTCCTCACTGGTAGCTACTACCCCACCCCTGTGCCTCCTATTTGAGTGGTGGGGCAAACTCAAGAGTTCACACCAGCATAACTATAGAAATTACAAATCAGTAAATACAGGAAATATTATGAATAGCATGTAGTTGTCTTTTTGTCTTTTTATATATTTTGTATTTTAAGCAAAAAAGAAAGGAATTAATTAGCTTAGCGAACATAAATCAGTTAACTAAATAAATAAATTTTCTAAATAATTGTACCTCTGCTCTCCCTATGTAGAAACAAAATTTAAAAACTTAAAGAATTTCCTGTCTTAGCCTATTCACAGTTGTGTAAAGAAATCTGTGAAAACATATGCTATCTGTCTTTCTCTGCCTGACTTAATTCACTTAGCATAACACCCTCGAGTTCCATCCACATTGCTACAAATGGCAGGTTTCATTCTTTCTCATTGCCATGTAGTATTCCATTGTATAAATAAATCACATCTTCTTGATCCATTCGTCAGTTGATGGACATTTAGGCTCTTTTCATGATATGGCATGGAGGAGGGCACTTGTTGGGATGACCTCTGGGTATTATATGGAAACCAACTTGACAATAAACTAGGAAAGAAAGAAAGAAATAAACTAGGAAAGAAAGAAAGAAAGAAAGAAAGAAAGAAAGAAAGAAAGAAAGAAAGAAAGAAAGAAAAAAAAATAATAAACAAACTTGATTTCTTTCTATTATAAAAGAAAGAAATCTGTGATTGAGCCAGAAGTTTAAATGTTAGGTAAACTCCCCTTTGATAATCCTTAAATTCTAAGTTATAATGTGTCATATTCACCTACCTGTATACTTTCTTAGTTAGTAGAGCAACCCGAGTCTGCTCATCTGGATATTTCTGTATCAATCTGGTTTTCTTTTTTTTTTTTTTATGTTTTATTTATTTCTGAGAGAGAGAGAAACAGCATGAGCAGGGGAGGGTCAGAGAGAGAGGGAGACACAGAATGGGAAACAGACTCCAGGCTCTGAGCTGGCTGTCAGCACAGAACCCACACGGGGCTTGAACCTACAAACCATGAGATCATGACCTGGGCCAAAGTCAGCCATTTAACCGACTGAGCCAACCAGGCACCCCTTTTTCTGGTTTTCTTAAAGCAGTTTATAAACCTCAGTAGCCTAAGTCCCCATACCTTTCCTCTAGTTCCTGCCTTTTTTTTTTTTTTCAGAAAATTATCCTACCTCTTTTTTAAAAAGATTATTTATTTATTTTTATTTTGAGAGAGAAAGTGTGAGTTAGGGAGGAGCAGAGAGAGAGACACTCCCAAGCAGGCTTTTCACTGTCAGCATGAGCCCGATGTTGGGCTCAAACTCATAAACTGTGAGACCATGACCTGAGCCAAAGTCAGATGCTTAACTGACTGAGCTACCCAGGTGCTCCTGTCCTTTTTTAAATATTTATTTATTTATTTATTTTGAGTGAGAGAGTGAGTGAGCATGCAAGCACAAGCCACGGAGGGGCAGAGAGAGAAGGGGAGACAGAGAATCCCTCACAGGCTCCACCCTGTCAGTGCAGAGCCCACGCAGGGCTAAAATGCTGGAACTTCAAGATCATGACCTGAACTGAAATCAAGAGCTGGGCGCTTAACTAACTGAGCCACCTGGGTGCCCCTAGCTCTTGCCTTTTTTAAAAACGTGAGGGGTGCCCAGGCTCCGTCGGTTAAGCATCCGACTTTGGCTCAGGTCATGATCTCATGAGTTCGTGGGATTGAGCCCCATGTCGGGCTCTGTGCTGACAGCTAGCTCAGAGCCTGGAGCCTGTTTAGGATTCTGTATCTCCCTCTCTCTCTGACCCTCCCCTGCTCATGCTGTCTCTCTCTTTCTCTCTCTCAGAAATAAATAAAAACATTTTAAAAGGTGGAAGATTTATACAATGTGAAGAGAAACTAGAATACTTGGCTTTTTTATTACCTGATCCAATTATCTCTAATCAGTTCCCCCTTCTCTAAAAGAGATATTTTGACAACCTAAGAATTTTAAATAGCCATAGCCACTATAGATATATATAATTTTAAAATATCCTTTTTTAAATTGAGAAAATAGTATCAAAAATAAGACTTATACAAATGTCCTTAGTAAAATCATCTATAATGCCACTACCCAAACACAACTATTTTTATATATACTTCTTGATACCTTGCACACACATACATAATCTTGTGAAGAATAAAAACAAATTTACATTCTGCTTTTCTTGCCAATTTAAAGAAATTTCAAAGTTAGACATAGCTTCCCCCAAGATACAAATGAACAGAAATTTTTGACAAGATTACAAACAAGAAACTATGTATGTTTTTAACTGATTTGACTCACTGTTGATATAAATTATCCAATATGCAGAGAATTGTTTCACAGAGAGAAACCAAAGATGTTAGACACATAGATAGTCCTCTAAGTAGGGTCATCTGTTCATTAGGCCCAGATACTACAACAAAACTAAGAACAGCTATTTTGCTCTGTAATTTCTAAGATTCATCAAATTGTCTCTTTGCTTTGGAACCAGTATGACCTATGACTGACTCTTGATCTCAGGTCTTAATCTCAGGCTCATGAGTTCAAGCCCTGCATTGGGCTCCCAGCTGGGTGTGAAGCCTACTTAAAAAAAAAAGAAAAGAAAAGAAAAGAAAAAGGAGAAGGAGAAGAAGGAGAAGGAGAAGGAGAAGAAGAAGAAGAAGGAGAAGAAGAAGAAAGAAAAAGAAGAAGAGGAAGAAGAAGGAGGAGGAGGAGGAAGAGGAAGAGGAAGAGGAGGAGGAAGAGGAAGAGGAGGAGGAGGAGAAGAGAAAAGAAAGCAACTAGCATTCTTGGGGAGCTACTCTGCCCTGGAACTCTCTGAGTGCTTTAAAGGGGTGGTCTTTTTTTTTTTTTAATGTTTTATTTATTTCTGAGAGAGAGAGACAGCATGAGCAGGGGAGAGTCAGAGAGAGAGAGAGAGATACAGAATCTGAAGCAGGCTCCAGGCTCTAAGCTAGCTGTGAGCACAGAGCCCGACGCAGGACTTGAACCCAAGAACTGTGAGATCATGACCCGAGCCGAAGTCGGACTTTTAACCGACTGAGCCATCCAGGCGCCCCTGAAGGGACAGTCTTAAGCTGATTTTAACAGTCTTTGTGAGTATGGTAGCAGAGTCTTGGTTGTTTTGGGGTTTTGTTGTTGTTGTTTGTGTTTGTTTGTTTGTTTGTTTGTTTGTTTTTTGATAGAGAATTAAGGCTCAGGGAGTTAAACAGCTAATCCAAAGTTCCACAGCAGTGAAGGGTCTGAGGGCATTTGTACACTGACCCATTCAACTTCCAAGACCAAAATTCTTTATAACATACCATATTTTCTCTGCTTCCAACTAGGAATTCTGGGTGATTTTTATTATTTTTCTCCTAATTTTGTCTCTTGCCTTCTTAAAAAGTTCAGTACTGGATTACTGTACATTGTCTACAAGGATGTCCTGGAAGACAATGAACTCTACCAGCCCGGGTTTAGAGAACAATTACTCAAATTGCATTAGATAGAGAAGTAGTTCCTGAATAATCTCACCCTACAATGATTATCTTGGTGCTTATTCCTTAGTGCTTCTATGTAATATATATATAATATACTCATTTTCTTATTTATACTTTCTAATAATTGGCTGTATTTTATCCATCTAGTCTTCCTTTGTGACTTCGTGATAAAAATAGAGAACGGCTAGTAATACTTTAATAGTTAACAGATCTGCTTTTTTGATTGCCACTACAGCAGCTTTAGCTTAGGCCCCACAAAATTCAAACAGAAGCAATCATAATATGAAAGGTAATGATTTGGTAAGAAATGGTGTAACTTAGCAATTCTGCAAGTCTTCTTGATTAAAGGCACTTACTGACATTATCTGTAATTGGAAACTAATCTATTGCTTTCTTTCTTATATAGGCCTAACTCCAAAAACACCAGACTGGTACAATCCAGGTAAGTTAAGAAAACTGAAATTTAGCCAAAGCTGCCTTTACCTTCTCAATAATGTATTTAGTTAATTATTAAAGCCCAGGCCTAAGTGCCAGCTTCTCTATCATGTCTTCAATAGAGGTGAAGTATCTCCAGGCAGAGAAGGTGATTAGCTGTTGTGGAATGAGGCTTTGAGGCTGGGTTTGTGCTCCTCTGTGAGTACAGAATGGTGGCTGTGTCTTTCACTGGCTCAATAATCCTTGGTGCCTTGCAGACAGCACTGCCCTGGCCGGAGAGAGCCAAGAACCTATATAGATTACTATTTATAAATAGTTTTGAACATTAATTCATGTTTATAAGGCACATTTTGATTTGTGCATAATACTGATATTCTTCTTCTTCTTTAGAGCGTGCTGGAATTCATGGACCTCCGGTTGTAATTGAAGGGAGTGAATATTGGTTTGTTGCTGATCCTCACTTAAACTATGAAGAAGCTGTCCTGTACTGTGCTAGCAATCACAGCTCCCTGGCTACACTGACATCTTTTGCAGGAATAAAAGCCATCAGAAACAAAATAGCAAATGTAATTTGAGAAAATATATTTAAATTTGTTTTCTTATTTTCATTATTTATTCCATTAAAAATATTTCAGGAATCTTGCCAAAATCTACAAAAGTTAAATGTTCCTTTCAAGTAAAATTTGTCTAGCAACATCCAAATTCATCATTTCATGTTAGGAAAGTTAACACAATGTTTTAAAATATGCAAGATTAATTATAAATGTCAATTTATAAGATGAACATCAGTAGATAATATAAATTATTCTAATTCTGTTTTACTTTGTAGTAAAAGTTAACTTTATGGTTAAGTTGAGTTTCTGTTTCTTCTAATAGCTAACCTTGCAAAATACCTTTTGTGGGAAAAATAATTTGTATATTTTAAAATTTATAGTTAGTTGTAGTAGAACATTATATATACAATTAGCATCTGTCTATAATTACAGTGACCATATTTATATTTTTATATGAAAAATAGCATATAGTGAATATACAGAGAGTTTTCATTTACTTCTTTGGTGAAAGAACCTGGTGTATATAATTTAGAGACCAAAGTAATGGAATGTCTGGAAATTTTAGTAGTTGTGGTTATTATAAGACTGGGTATTTAAATCAAAACTCTCTTAAAAACTCAACATATGTAAGGATGGGTGATTTTGTTTGTTGGTTGGTTTGTTTTTCAGATATCTGGTGATGAACAGAAGTGGTGGGTGAGAACTTCTGAGCAGCCCATAGATCGTCACTTTATAAAGTATGTGACACAATTGATGCTGTCTTTGTAAAGTCATCTGAAAGAAGTCCCAAGTTCCCTTTAGAAAAGGGGTTGCTATTTACATTTTCTTTGAAAATTAATCTGTAAACTACATAGACTAGAGAAACCAAGTCATTTTGCATATTAACGTTAAGAAAAAGTGGTATAAAACAATGGCATACCATTAAATTTAGAATTAAAACTATAGTAAAAATCAGAATGCAACATGTAACTGTTATGAGCTATGAAATCTCTCCTTTTCTTTCAGCTCACGCTATCCATGGGATCACTTTCCTATAACATTTCGGGAGGAATGCTTGTACATGTCTGCCAAGACTTGGTTTAGCGGTAAATTAATTTCAAATCCTTTAATGTTAATTATATAATACGTGAACTTCAGGTTCAATTATTAGCTTAACCTTGTTTTTCTTTTGATTGTATGTTTGATTGCTTCATCTTATTTTGGCTTATTGCTAATGACCATGGCTCAAATTCCAAATGCAAATAAAGGTGCTTTTCACCTTTCACTGTATTTTGACTTTCTTTACCCTAAAGCGGTTACTTAGAAATAAATTTACCAATTTCATAACTGATAAACTTATAGAGAAATTTGCAAAGATAAACAGATAGCAATTCTAAATATAGTTTAGGTCTCTTTCCCCTTCATTAGCCTTCGCTTTCAACCTATTTTCTCGCCATCACGAACTGTGGTAACAGTGGTCATTATACCAAATGTGTGCATTTTTATCGGCAACACTGGTATGCTATAACCTACTGATATGAGTAATAATAGAAGTTAGAAATGAATAGAGAAGAAAAGGAATATATTTTAACTGTTTGGGAAAGATCGATTTAAAGATGTTTTCTTTACTACTGCATTGTTTTTAAAATGTGCTGAACAGAAAATTCTCACTACAGTAATCCTGCTTTTCATTTCTCAGACTTAAATAAGCCAGCAGACTGTAGTACCAAGTTGCCTTTCATCTGTGAAAAATATAATGTGTCTTCATTAGAAAAATATAGTCCAGATTCCACAGCTAAAATACAGTGCTCTGGGGATTGGATTGCTTTTCAGAATAAGGTAAAAAGAGAATTGCTACATTGTACAAATGATGATTGCTTTCATGCTGGTTGTATGGCCTGTGGCAGAATAGCAGCCCATCAAATAACTTCACTAAGATAGCCTCTGCATATTTCAGTAACTCACCTGATCCTCTGCATTGCCAGAAACCATGTTGAGTCTCAAGTTGAGTCTCATGCCTACAGGTCTTTCAAAGTACTGTGTTCCTATTCTTTTGCTGCTAAACTTAAATAGCTGATGTTGATCTGTCAATGGATTGTAATACTTTAAATAAACTCTCTATAGCATGAAGGAAACTGACAATTTCTGGCTGATAAATTTTCCACCTGAAAGAAAACATCCAAGTGGATATTTAATCTATCAATTAAATTAAACCAGCATTTCCCAAACTACTTTTTGGGAACTACCACACATATGCTAACAAAATGGTGATCATTGATCTTGCCTCCAAAGGGGACATTCTACATCTGCCTCTTTGAGATTTGTAATCTATATTGGTATATGTACCTCTTTGGAAATGCTAAGTAGAGAGATGTATGCTATAGTATGTTAAAACATCTATTCTCTTACATAAGAGAAGTTTGATGATAAGCAGGCTGGGGTTGGTGTGGAAGTTCCATGATATCTTCAAAACTAGGCTCCTTTTGTCTTTCTGCTCTGCCATTCTTAACATCATAAAATGTCCAAGCTCAAGTTCAGGGCATTCTCTTTAAGGTCTTTTCTAGAATCCACCTGATGATGATGATGTATAGCTCATTGGCCACTGCAGTCTGTAAAGAAGATGAAACAAAGTATTTTGTAGAATGTTTCAAGGAACACAGTTCAGAGCATACCATTCCATACTAACATGATCATAAGATCAAAAAGGGAAAGGAAGATATGTATCTGACAACTGAAAGCCTCTGTACTAAAGCTAAAATATTAATTTTAAAATTAGAACAATCTTTTTTCCCCAAGGTACTAAGACCAAATTAATGTACATAGTTGATGTAATTTTGAATTAAAATATCCTACCAAAAGAAAGGGGGGTGATTTCTTTTAAAATATTTATTTTTATATAAGGAAGTAATGATTTGGAATGCAGCCTTCGAAGTCAAATGGAACACAATCTAAATGCTGAGCATACCACTGTCTAGCTATTTCACTTATTGGAGAAGTTATTTAATTGCCCTGTGCCTCAGTTTCCCCCCATTTTATTGTGAGAATTAAATGAGATAATATTATGCAAACTGTTTAGCCCATGGAAAGCACTCCATAAATGGGAGATTTAAAAAAAAGTTTGACTAATAGACCACTCTAGTTGCTTCTATTGCAAGTAGAGATCTGCATTCATATAGTACTATTTTGCAAATTTCCATATCTCAGAGACCAAAAATTAGCAGCCCTCTAAAAGATGAGATGTTTATGGGGTGTCTGAGTGGCTCAATCATTTAAACCTATGATCTGTGATTTTTGCTCAGGTCATGATCCCAGAGTCATGGGACTGAGCCCTGAATCAGGCTCTGCACTGAGTATGGAGCCTGCTTAAGATTCTCTCTCCTCTCCCTCTATCCCTCTCTCCAACTTGTGCTCTCTCTCTTTAAAAAAAAAAAAAAAAGAATTAAAAGATGAGATGTTTACCTACTATGTGAGCTCTCCTGTGTCTGGAATCTTATTCTTCATATGTGTTTTTTGTTTGCAGTGTTTTCTCAAAATCAAACCCAAGTCTCTCACATTTTCTCAAGCAAGTGATACTTGTCACACCTATGGTGGCACTCTTCCTTCAGTGTTGAGCCAGAGAGAACAAGGTAGCAGAATTGTTTTGGAAACAACTTTTATTCTGATCTGGGGAGCCCAGATAGTTTAGGGAGGCTGTGGGGAATTAGCATATTAAAATATCTTCTTAGGGGCACCTGGGTGGTTCAGTCAGTTAAGCATCCACCTCTTGGTTTCGGCTCAGGTTGTGAACTCATGGTTTGTGGATTCAAGCCCCACATCGGGTTCTACAATGACAGTGAGGAGCCTGCTTGGGATTCTTTCTCTCTCCCCCTCTCTCCCTGCCCCTCACCTGCCCATTCTCTCTCTCTTTTGCTCTCAAACTAAATAAATAAACTAAAAATTTTTAAATCTTATTAAACCAGTTTTTTATATAATAGGTAAAAGATTATCTTTGTAGATAAGCAAGAGATATCCATTAACATTTTTAATATATGTTTAATTTGAATAAGTCAAATGCCTTAAAAAAAATCTCTTTCTGACAGATTTTATTACATCCTTGCTTCCGGATATGGAGGCTACTTTATGGATTGGTCTGCGCTGGACTGCCTATGAAAGGGTAAACAAGTGGACAGATAACAGGGAGCTGACATACACTAACTTTCACCCATTACTGGTTGGTTGGAGGCTGAAAATACCAACAAACGTAAGTTTTTTTGAATCAGAAATCTGTATAGGTTTGTGAATACCCAAGTCTTCCATAAATTACTGGATTAAGATAAGAACAAGGGTCTATTGGGGCACCTGAGTGGCTCAGGTGGTTAAGTGTCCAGCTTTAGTTCCGGTCATGCATGATCTCATGGTCTGTGAGTCTGAGCCCCGCATTGAGCTCCATGCTGATTGTGTGCATCCTGCTTGGGATTCTCTCTCCTTCTCTCTGTCCCTCCCCCATGTGCTCTCTCTGCTCTCTCTCCCTCAATATAAATATAAACAAATAAACATATTTAAAAAAGAACAAAGGTCTATTTTATGAGTCCACTTATATGAAATGTTCAGAGCAGGCACATATCTAAAGATAAAATGTAGATTAGTGATTGCCAGAGGCTATGGAGGAAAGAAGGATAGGAAGTCATGCCCAAAGGGTATGGCATTTCTTCTTGGGGTGGTAAAAATGTTCTAAAATTGAATGGGAGGTGATGGTTGCACAATTGAATATACTAAGAACTATAGAATGTGTGCTTTAAATGGATAAAGTTTATCACCTATGAGTGTTATCTCAATAAAACTGTCACAAGAAGAACAGGAGTTCCCCAGCATTCAAGCAGATGCCCTAGTTTTTTGGTTTTTGTTTTTTTTACAGTAGCTTCAGATTCCATACCACTTATTTTACAACCACAATAAACCATCATGTAGTAAGATGCAAATAGAAGCACATATAAATGCTTTATTAACATTTGGAACTTGGGGCTGTCTCCTGGAGCCAAAAGTACAAAATTGGTGACTAGTAATCATTTTCTGCTGAAAACTACACATAAAGAAGCTGTAGAGGGGAAAAAAAAACATTATGTTAACAATAGTTACCCTATACCATGATTCTGCTGCCCACTGCTTCTGTCTTCCCTATTTGCTGGATATAAACCACCTTTTGCACAATGGCAAAGATTAAGAAATTAACTTTAAAGTCAAATTCCAAAGATAGTTCTGGACAATAGTCAGTTGATGTTCCTGATGCAGTATAACTTTGCTCAAGGTAGATGTTGGTGCCAAAGGGAACTCTGAGTCAAATGTAATTATGTACAAAGTAAATATTAAAATAACATTTGGTTATTATAGAAAATCTGAAAGCTGTCAAAGAGTAAATGCAATAAAGAAAACTGTCAATCCTAATCCTTCTTATACTTAGGCCAGTAGCTTTCAAGTTTTCAACCATAATCTCATAGTAAGAATTACATTTAAATTACTGTTAAGTACATGAATATAAATATAATATTGAATTGAAACAGATGTTTCAAGAAACAGTACTTACCCTGACTGCATATATCCACTGATATTTTCTTTCTAGTCTAGTCTAAACTATTCTTCACCTATCCATCCTATTTCATTATCACATATGTGAGTCAAGATCTGCTGAATTGATGTCACAACCTACTAAATGAGTCTCAAACTATATTTGAACCCTAATCTAGGAAATCACAATAAGTATTTCAGAATTTTTTCTTCTAAGGCTTTTTCATATATTATCTTTCTGACATAGATAAAATCACAGTCTGTATACCATTGTATATATACTATTCTACTTTTCTCGTTTAGTACCAAATAATAAATAGTTTCTTATACCATTAAAAGATATGCTTGAAAAGCATTTTAATAGTACACAATATCTCTTGGTAGATATGTGAGAGTATTTAGGTTATTTCCATTTTTGCACAATGATAAATAGTGCTACAATGAACATTTTATGCATAATCTTTTATTATATTTCAGATTACCTCAAGATATATTTTGGAAGTCATATAGCCAAATCAAAAGATATAAGTGGTTATAAAGCTCTGATTACCAAATGCTTTCCAGAAAGGTTTATGAGTTTATATTTTTATTAGCAATATATTATGATGGCCCTTTTATCCATATCAGAATATTAACAATTTCTAACATTTGTTGATCATCTAATATGTGTCAGGTACTTTGCTAATGCATCATATGCATTATTTGATTTAATCTGTACAATAGATGTGAAAAGGACTATTACTCCACCTCTATCTTACAAATGTAAAAACAGAAGGAGTCATGTAACTTGCACCCAATCATGCAGCCACGTGTGCAGAGTCACATTTAAATCTTAGGTCCAAGAGTCCACAGAACCAGTGTTCTTAGCTACTTTACTATGTTGCTTATAAGGGGCATTGTCTTTTAAAAATTCTTGCTAATTTGGTAATTTAATATATCATATTTTTGTTTATATTTCTCTGATTCTAATGAAAACAAACTTCTATGAGTTCAGTAGTAATTTGAATCTCATCAAGTATAAATGTTATATTTTGCCAATATTTATCAAAGCCTTCATATATTTCTCTTTTGCCTTCATGTATTTCTTATTGATATTATAACTGTGTAAATATTAAACATGCTAAGTCTCTGTTTCTTGTGTTTACTAAAAATTTTCCAGTATATTTTTTAAACTCTGAATCCAAAAATATTATAGAAATGTTTTGATTTTTTCTTGTGTGTACATTCAAATCTGTTTATTTCCCTTTTTTTCTCCATTTCTATTAGATTACAAAGCTCATCATATAAATGTTAGTTAAATATATGCTTATATTTTCTTTGCCTTTTTTTTCCTGACAGCATGGTACAGCCATGGTATGTGGTATACGTTGGCAGTGAATACTTAAGGCATTTCCCTAATCCTGTCTAACATCGTTTGTTACATACACTTCCATCTGTTAAAGACAATATAGGATGCCTCCTTTATATATTAAATGTGTTTGTATGTGATATGCTCTTTCATAGCTATAACACTAATCTAAATACTATAATTTGCCAATTTTTAAAAAATATAATAGGAATAGTTATCATTTATAAATACTTTTAAAAATAGCTTTAGCTATTTTTGTCCATTCCTCCAAACTATAATTATTTAGTCAATTTCCAACTAAATCATTAAATTAAAAAACTTCTAATGAGAATTTGATAACATTTTAGGGAGAATTAACATATTTTTATTAACATTTCAATTTTAAAATATGGTATAATATATCTCTCCATTTATTCAAGTCTTCCTTCAGAGCCTTCAGTGAAGTTCTTGTAATTCTGTCTCATTGCCTTGAGAATAGCAGGTTTTTTCTTGATTTTCTCACTGACAGTAGAAAGCTATTGTTTGGGTATATTTCTATATTTATTTCATAGGCATCCGTCTTCCTAAAAGCATCTTATTGCTTCTCAGAGTTTTTCACTAGATTTTTTTGGAGGTTTCCTAATTAGATGATCATAATCTTCAAACACCTGTCCATGCTTCACTACATATGGTCAGACTTCCAGAACTGTAGCACTACCAGAAGTAATAACCACTATCCTAGACTTGCTCTGGATTTTCTGACTGTCTGAAGTCTCTCATTGTTATATATGATGCCTACTCTTTTTTTAAGTTTTATCATTCTATAACTAGCTTATTTAAAATTTTTGTTCAGGAATAAGTACTGAATTTTCTAATGCTTATTTCCAGCATCTACTAAAAATGTGATAATAGCTAAATTAAACTATTTTCATCTTATCATAAAATCTAGTTGTTCAAAGTGGATTATATTTTACTTATATACTGAACTGGATTTATTAGATTTTATTTGAGAATGTTTTCATCTCTGTTCATAGATTTAATTTTTTTATGCAATATGGTCAGATTTTTTTTCTGATTACATTAACTTCATAAGAAGAACTGGATACCTTTCTGCCTTTGTGTTTTGAAATTATGACTCAGCATAGAGAGTTATCTTTCTCTGAAAGTTTGAAGGAAGCACCTAAAAAATCATGTGATGATACACTTCAGAGATCATTCTTTAATAATAAAGAGATTTGGTGTAGTGGTTGAGTGGTTAAACTCCAGAGTTGCATTGTCTGGGCTTGAATTCCATCGAGTCATTTAATGTGCCTTTGAAAGTTCCCTTAACTTTTCTTAAGCCTCAATTTTTCATCTGTAAAATTTTTCAAAAAATTTTTAATGTTTATTTAATTTTGAGAGAGAGAGAAAGAGACAGAGTGTGACCAGGGGAAGGACAGATAGAGAGGGAGACACAGAATCTGAGGCAGGCTCTGACAGCTCAGGGCCTGACGCAGGGCTTGAACTCACAGACTGTGAGATCATGATCTGAGCTGAAGTCGGTCACTTAACTGACTGAGCCACCCAGGCACCCCTCATCTGTAAATTCTGACACTGTTATACCTACAATACAATGTGAGGATTACATAGATAATCCATTTAAAGCTTTTAGCTCTCTGATGCATAGTTTTTAAAATGAACTATTAATATTAATTTTCAATTTCCTCCAAAGTTTCTGGTACATTTTGGATTTTCTGCTTTTCCTTGTAATAATTATGCTAATTTTATTTTTCAAGAAAGTCGCATACTTCATTTAGATTTTCTTTTTTTTTAATTTTTTAAAACTTTTTTAAGTAATCCCTACATCCCACATGGGGCTCGAACTCAGAACCCCAAGATCAAGAGTCACATGCTCTTCCAACTGAGACAGCCAGGTACCCCTCATTTAGATTTTCTAATGTATTAGAATAAAATTGTGTATACTATTATCTTTTTAAATCCCCATATCTTATTTTGATTATGTTTTTACTTTTTATTCAGATTTTTACAAAATTGGTGTGTTATGGCTTTCTCTTCCATCTCTCCACCCTTTACTTCTATTGCTTGAGGTACATTTACAAATATTACATTTTCTATCCTGTCTTTCTTGGAGTTATATTTTTATTCATTTTCTAATCTCCTGTACTCAATTCTTAGTTCAACTTTCCTTTAAAAACCAGAATACATTTAATAATATATATTTGCAGAATTCCACTGTTGGGTATTCACCCAAAATCCAAAACACTAATTCAAAAAGATATATACACTCTTATGTTTATTACATCAGTATTTACAATAGCCAACATATGGAGGCAACCTAAGTATCCACTGATAGATAAATGGATATGGAAAATGTAATGTGGTATACACACACACACACACAAATACTACACAACTTAAAAATGGATGAGATCTTGCCATTTGCGACAACATGAATGGACTTAGAAGGTATTATGCTAAAGGAAATAAGTCAGACTGAGAAAGACAAATACCATTTTGCTCATATAAGGGAACCACTCATATGAAAAAACAAATGAATAAAAAAACAAAAAGCAGAATCAGACCTATAAACACAGAGAACAAACTGTTCAAAGAACAAACTGAGGGTTACCAGAGGAAGAGGAGTGGGAGGATGGGCAAACTGGGTAAAAGGGAAAGAAAGATACAGGCTTTCAGTTACAGAATGAATAAGTTACAGCACAGGGATTATAGTCAATGATATTATAAGTGAATTGTATGGTGACAGATGGTAGGTACATGTGTGGTAAGCATAACGTAACATACAGGGAAGCAAATCACTATGTTGTATACATGAAACTAATGTAGCATTGTGTGTCAACTATACTCAAATAAAACACTTAATAATAATAATAATAATACATGTTTACCTCTATAAAAAGTGTAATGCATATCCCTTGTGATATTATTCTTTCCTATAATTATTTTATTTCAGTTTTGGTCCAGTGTGTATTGTGTAGCACGTGTCTATGTGTTTTTATAAAATCTGTAACTCCTAGGATAAGCTTACTTTTCTTATTTTTCTAAGTGTGTGATATGCTTCAAGCATACAAAAATATAGGAACAATATACTTAGAATAAATTTTCATACCTAGTATTATTGATTTGTGATCAGAGAATGAAATCTAAATAGATATTTATGGATGTTTTTATAGTGACTAGTAAGGATCAAAGCTTTAAGGTGAGTTCTCTGTTGTGTAGTATACAGTTTGTCATCATAAAAATTTTATAAACATCTAATAAATTGAATTAACAATCATTACTTTTTTGCTTTGAAATGTCAAGAATGATAGCAGAGTGTTAAATATTACTATAATTCTGTTTTAATCTTACTTGTACCAGATTTTCTTTATCTGTTTAGAATTTATGTTTAAAATATTGCCACTGTTTTGTTTTATAATTTCTAAAGTTAATTGGCATTTTCCCATGCTTTGGAAGTTTTTGAGGATTTTCTTGTGATTTCATGGCCAGCTCCTTAATAGAATTTTTACAGGAGGAAAATTCAATTTGGAATATAAAGTTCTCTTGCTGGGATCTTCAGGCAGTTAGTTTCATGATTATTGTACATATTTGCCTTTTGTTTAGATATTTGAGGAAGAGTCCCAATACTACTGTGCTCTAATGCTCAACCTCCAAAAGTCACCTTATACTGGGACATGGAATTTTACTTCCTGCAGTGAATACCACACTCTGTCTCTCTGTCAGAAATATTCAGGTAAAAATTATTATTAGATAACTATGGTACTTTGTGCTGTTAGATATATACAGTACTTTTTCACAAAAATCCTAATTAATTAGTCATTAATTTAATTACTCTTAATTTAATTAACAATTAATTAAATGATATAATATTAATTTGTAAACATATAGCTTCCCTAAAATTTCCACATAGCTAAATTCATATTGGTTCAGTGAGTCAGATTATCTCAAACGGAATGTTACTTTTTTATGTGTCATTTCTTTATCTAATTAAATATCAAAATTAAGTATTGGTGCTGACAGCTCTGAATCTGGAGCCTGCTTTGGATTCTGTGTCTCCCTCTCTGCCCCTCCCTTGTTTGTGTTCTTTGTCTCTCAAAAACAAATAAATGTTAAAAATTTTTTTAATTAGAATCATCCATATTTTCAAAAAGATGTTTTTATAAAGTATCACATTGTTTTCATTGATCACAATGGTCTTAATAAATGATTTGAAAAAATAAGAAACCTTTTGGGACATTTGGGTGGCTCAGCAACTTAAGCATCCAAGTCTTGATTTGAGATCTGGTCATGATCCCAGGGCCATAGGATTGATCCCTGTGTTAGGCTCTGTGCTGAGCATGGAGCCTGTTTAAGATTCTTATTCTCCCTCTGCCCCCCCCCATAAAAATGAATAAACAAATAAAATTTTTAAAAGTTTGTCATGTGTTCATAGCAGCACTCTCCACAATAGCCAAAACATGGAAAGAGCCTAAGTGTCCATCAACGGACGAATGGATCAAGAAGATGTGGTTTATCTATACCATGGAATACTACATGGCAATGAGAAACAATGAAATCTGGCCATGTGTAGCAACATGGATGGACCTTGAGGGTGTTATGCTGAGTGAAATAAGTCAGGCAGAGAAGGACAAATATCATATGTTTGCACGTATAGGAGGACTAGGAGGAACTTGACGGAGGAACAAGGGGGAGAAGAAGGGGGGAAATGGTGGGGGAAAGGGAGAGAGGCAAACCATGAGAGACTCTTGAATGCTGACAAAAACTGAGGACTGATGGATGTGGGGGGGAGGGGGGATGGGCATGGAGGAGGATACTTGTGGGGATGAGCACTGAGTGTTATGTAGAAACTAATTTGACAATAAACTATTTGTAAAAAAAAAAATAATAAAATAAAATAAAATAGCTCTATAAAGGTAAAAAAATAAATAAATAAAAGTTTGTCATGTAATGAGAACCTCAAGTAGGTAATCCATGTACTTCTAAAGATTCTAAAGAACTTTTTTTAAATTAAGTTATGCTCATTTGCCTCATACTGTTTAGTAACTGCTTTATTCAGGGAAGCAGTATAAAGCAATAATTCAATATATCCTCTCATGGGTTGTTTTGTTCATTTTTTTCACGGGAGCTCTTCCCGATGAAAACTTTGTAAGGGAACACCTAACACCTTCTCTTGTTGAAGGAGTTCAAACAAAGGAGATATTTGACACCAACCTGAAATGGTAATCTGATTGCAGCCTACTTTTACTTATACCTTTTTTTGTTCCTAAATCAAATCAACAAAAACAGAATTTTGTTCCAGTTTTAGAAAAAAAAAGGTGTGCCTCACACATATTACCTAAGGTACACAGCAAGACATACCTGGTTCTCCCAGCCAAAATCTAAAATAAATGAATAGATAAGTAATATCTAAAGTATTAATGGAGAAATGAAGGAATGTCCCACACTTTGCAGAATGGATGGTTTTTGTGGTTTTTTTTCTTTTACACACAGAAATTGAAAGCAGACAGACCTTGCAGAATACTTCAGACACTATAAAGTATCTAAATAATTTGTACAAAATAATCCCAAAGAGTCTGACATGGTTTGATGCTCTGACGGAGTGTCAGAAAGAAAACATGCACCTGGTGAGCATCACAGACCCTTACCAGCAGGCCTTCCTAACTGTACAGACGGTCCTTCATAACTCTTCTTTATGGATTGGACTCTCCAGTCGAGACGTAAGTTTTCAGTCCCAACTGCCAGCATTGGGTGACGGAATGTGAAATTTTTGTTGCATGCAGCATTTCTCATATCAGACTAAAGAACACAGAGATTGTAAAATCTTACTCCAGTGAGTAGATTTCATGAAGTGCATAATTTTTAGTGGCAGTCATCTTTCCACTGTTGAAAGATCTGGTGCTTTATTGTTTAGATTAAGAAGAAGTTCTAGTGGACGTATGTGGATGAGTACTTCTTTTCATTCTAGTAAAAGATTGAGCTGGAAGCAGGAACTGCCAGCTCTCCCCAGCCAATGAAAAGAAGAGGGGAAGAGAAGAATTAAAAAATCAGATGGGGTTCAGTGTGCAGAAGTACTGTGGTTTCTGATGAATAGTCTTTTTATCCTTTTCCGAATCAGCAGAGTAAAATTAAGCCTCTCTAAAAGGAGATTAGCGTAGTGTTTCACCACAGCTCAAGAGCTGATCCTGGATGGATGTCTTGAATACTTCTAGTTCATTTCACAGCCCAGCAAAGAATACTAGTCTCCTGCTAATTCCCAATGCTAGGCTACAAACATGTCACATAAGCAGGAATATTTATGCTTCTGAAGCATTTAGCTATAATTAATAAGTTTTTTTTCAATAAAGCTATAGTAAAAAAATAATAAATAAGGCTGTAGTATTTCTGACAGCACTGTAGGTCACTTTTGTCTCCATTCTAGGCCTTCTATATAATAATCTGATACTCTGCTCACTGAGATGTATTGAAGGGGAAGATATAGGGCTGGTATGTGAGGCTGCATACATTAGACTCTGCATAGGGGGTGCCATTTACAAAGATTGTGAACTCTGCCCCCTGCATCTGCACAGTGCATGACTGGTGAAGCCCTAGTTAGATAAATGTTACCTAAACCAGTATTCTCTACTTTCAGAGAGAGGGTAATTGACAGAGAAAGACAGAAGAGTACATTGCATTGTGAAGCAAACCTAAGTTATATATACCTTGGGAAAACCCTCAGTATACCAATGTGGCATATACCAAAATGGTTTTAGCGCTGCATGGAAAAAATGTGATTGACAGTGATTTAGTCCTAGTACACACCCAGAGTCAAACTCGAGAATGGGTGATAAAATTTAAAATAGACTCAGAAGTAAACATTACTTTGGACAAACTTTTGATTCATTACCACTAGCATTTTCTAGAAGCTTAGTATTTAGAAATTGCTTGAATAATGGTTTCTCTAAGACTTCCAGGTCAAGCCAGATCATTGGCTTGAACTAGTTTTCAAGACTTACTTTATCAGTTCTTTCATAACATTGTATTCATTTATTTCCTCTTCATTGTTTGGGACTATGTGAAACCCATCATTGTGTCTCTTGTGAGGGTAGTAATAAGTTATTACATTTCCTAGTTTCAATCACCTTTAACCTTTTGAAACAAAAGCAATACTGTCCCTGTAGAAAATTTGTAAATTTATAGTAAATTTTTTAAAAAGAAAATGAGAATCATCTATAATCACCGTACCTAGTGATAAATATGATTTAATAATCTGGTATATATCCCTCAAGATTTTTCTATGTACACATGTATATTTTTAAGATAGAATCATACTGTTTTGTTACTTGTTACTTGCCACTTAAGGATTTTGACCTTATTTCTTATCCTATTTTCTATTTGTACTTATGTTTCTCTTTTTCCTTTCACTCTTTAACATATTCTATGTGGCTGTTTATTATGTATTTGCATAAAGTGCCTTAAATCTTTGGAACATGGACCGGATACATTTTACATTGAAAGCAACAGAAGGGTATTTAAAGATTTTAAGCCTGGTAGTGACAATATCAGATTTTTACTTAAGTAGAATAATACTGGCAGAGGGTGGGTAAGGAAGTGAATAGTCTAGAGATTTCTTATAGAAATTCATGCAGGAAATGATGTTGGCCTGAACTAAGGCCGGTGGCAGTTCTGGGTTATTTATCTAAAGTTTGGAGTGTGGCAGTGGCAGTGGGTCACTCACGTACGTAGATTGTAAGCATATAGAAAAAGAGGAAGTTAAGAAGGCTTGGGAACTGGGTGAATCATCCACATTAACATTAATGTCTGTAAGTCAATGGTTGGACCATTGGGGTATCTCTTCAATGAATATCAGGGGGGAACAGAGAGGCAAGTCCTCAGTGAATGTCAGAGAGAGGCATGGAATCTGGGAGCTTGCATAACCTCAAAGGAAATGACTGAAAGAGTTATCCCATTCTCCTAGCCCTGTGGTATCTGAGAATGGAAAAATAAACAGCCTTCCTCCTGGGTGTTGAAAGGAACTTATTCCTTTGGAAAAGACAGGTTTTAATTAATTTCAATTAAGGTCAAGAATTTAGTAAAGAGGCACTTACAATCTTAATAAAGAGAGATCACATTCAGCAGAGATTGAGGGGGTGGTGATTTATCTATGAGGAATAGAAGGTCCAAAAGCCCAGATTCCTGGGTTAGTTGTGAGTGCAACAAAGGTGAAGGAATCCAGGGTAATACTAAGTACAAGCAACATCCCTTGGCCAAAGGAGCACATTTGAGGCCATGGGGCTTAGGCCACAAGGTTACAACTAGAACTCTGGGGGGAGAAAGTTTTCAGAATGAAATACTTGGTGGTGTTGAAGCCTGAACATCTTTGCTATTTATGGTTCAATAAGGATACTGTGTGTGGCCTTTGCCCAATATTCCAAATATACCAGTGATACAGAATCACCTTGGGCCTCAGGACAGCTTAATTCACTGGGTCACTGTATAAGGGCTGGTGCTCTAGCAGCACCTTGGAGAAGCTCAAACAGGTCTGTACCCTAGACTTTTGTACCTATTTTGTAAAGCCTCTCTCAAGATGGTGTTTGGTCAAACCCTTGTCAGGATGTAAAGATAGATGTTCACTGACTTTTAGTTCACAATAGAAGTTAGTGAATGAGGAAGCTTTTCGATAAAGACAAGTATAAAAACAGCAGTGTGAGATCCGCAAGGCCTGAGTCAGAGTTAGAAGGGAGAGAGCTAACATTTATATAGTTCTTTCTGTGTGCCAGTTGGCCATAGAGTTACATGTTTTACACGTTACCCCACTAATTCTAGCCCTGAGAGGTTAAGGGTCATATTTGTTTAATAGATGAGGGGATGGAAATCTGGCAAGGTAAACTAAAATCAATAACTAATAAGGGGCTGAGCCAGAATTCAAAACTAGATATGCTTAGCTCCAGAGCCTATGTTCTTTCCACTACTACATAATTGTTTTTCTGACTTCCAACAATGAACAGTTCCAATTAAGTGTGAGGCAGTCTAGCATAATGGCTCAGGCCATGGACTCTCGTGCCTGATGGCCTGGATTAGAATCCCAGCACTGCAGTATTCATTCTATGTGACTTTGAGCACACTACATATTCAGTTTCCTCATCTGTGAAATAAACGTAATAGTTCCTATCTCACATGGTTGTTAGGAAGATTAAGTAAGTTAATCTTTGCAAAGCACTTAGAACAGTGCCTGGCACATGGTAAGTGCTATGTAACTATGTGCTAAATATAAGATAAAATTAAAAGTTATTAGATTGAGCAAGAGGGTAATATAATACAAAGGAGATAAAGTGAAGTATTCCCACTTGAACTGTATTTCTGCTGCTTATAGGATGAACTCAACTATGGCTGGTCAGATGGGAAACATCTTCAATTTAGTCGCTGGATTGAAAATAATAAGCAACTTGAAGACTGTGTAATATTAGACACTGATGGATTCTGGAAAACATCTGATTGTGAACATAAGCAACCAGGTGCTATTTGCTACTATCCAGGAAGTATGCTAATTTTAAATATTTTAATTTATGGAGGGTGGTTTTGTAAACTCTGGTTTTGAAATAATAATGTCCTTTTCTACAACAAAATTTGTTGTGAAAATTTGTATTCAAGTAGAATTAGTATATATTAAACACTTTGTTATTGATTTATTGTTTTATCCATGTTATATCTTTATTTTTGTCAGTTGACAATGGTACTTGACCTTTGAGTTTTAAATCCCTGTTACCCTCATTTTGTTTATATTTTGTGTTTGTGTTCTATAGAAAGTTCATATTTGTAGGAATTATTTTTAGTAATTCTTATTATCAACAACTAATCTTTCTTTTTAAGAGTCACTGCTAAGATTCATTTGTTTGCAAGCTCAAGCCAGCTTAAGCCAAAGGGACACTTACATCCTCAAAAATAAGGATATAGCTGAGCCTCATGAGGAATGGGAATCAGAAACTGAATGGAATCTGGAACCCAGAGATAACTGTCTTCCACCTATCCTTTATGTTTCTCTCTGTGGATCTGCACTCTTCTTTTTATATACTTTCTGCTTCTCTCTGTGCATGGTAAAACATGGCAGCTCCTGAGCTTTCAATTATAGCCATAACTAGAGATGAATTGACTATCCCTAATTTACACTTCCCAAATTCTTAGAGAGAATCTGATATGCCTAGTGAGGTATGCAGTCTCTAGTTGAGTCAGAGTAAAGTGGTTTTACAACTGCCAGGGGCCCACATTTGTGTGTTTGCTGTAGAAAGAAAATATTACTTCCCAAAAGGAATCGTTGCAAGCTGGGAGATATACTAGATAGTTTCTACTGCATATTAAATCTGTTTGTTGGCTTTGAGTAGAATATATCTGTGTTGACACATAGACCAATGGAATAGAATAGAAAACTCAGAATTGGACCCACAGATGTATGGCCAATTACTCTCTGACAAAGCAGGAAAGAGTATCCAATGGAAAAAAGACAGCCTCTTTAACAGATGGTGCTGGGAGAACTGGACAGCAACATGCAAAAGAATGAAACTAGACCACTTTCTTATACCATACACAAAAATAAACTCAAAATGGATGAAGGACATGAATGTAGACAGGAAACCATCAAAACCCTAGAGGAGAAAGCAAGAAACAACTTCCTTTACCTCAACTGCAGCAGTTTCTTACTCATTACATCTCCAAAGGCAAGGGAATCAAGAGCAAAAATGAACTATTGGGACCTCATCAAGATAAAAACCTTCTGCACGGCAAAGGAAACAATCAGCAAAACTAATAGGCAACCAATGGAATGGGAAAAGATATTTGCAAATGACATATTGGATAAAGAGTTAGTATCCAAAATCTACAAGGAACTCACCAAGCTCCACACCTGATAAACAAATAATCCAGTGAAGAAATGGGCAGAAGACATGATCAGACACTTCTCAAAGAGGACATCCAGATGGCCAACAGACACATGAAATGATGCTCAGCATCCCTCATGATCAGGGAAATACAAATCAAAACCACACTGAGATACCACCTCACGCCTGTCACAGTGGCTAAAATGAACAAATCAGAGGACTCTAGATGCTGGCGAGGATGTGGAGAAATGGGCACCCTCCTACACTGTTGGTGGGAATGTAAACTGGTGCAGTCCCTGTGGAAAACAGTGTGGAGGTTCCTCAAAAAATTAACAATAGAACTCCCCTATGACCCAGCAGTAGCTCTGGTAGGAATTTACCCAAGGGATACAGGACTACTGATGCATAGGGGCACATGTACCCTAATGTTCATAGCAGCACTTTCAACAATAGCCAAATCATGGAAAGAGCCTAAATGTCCATCAACTGACGAATGGATTGAGAAGATGTGGTTTATGTATATAATGGAATAGTACATGGCAACGAGAAACAATGAAATCTGGCCATTTGAAGCAATGTGGATGGGACTTGAGGGTGTTATGCTAAGTGAAATAAGTCAGGCAGAAAAGGACAGATATCATATGTTTTCACTCATATGTGGAACAGGAGAAATTTAACAGAGGACCATGGGGGAGGGGAAGGGAAAAAATAGTTAAGGAGAGGGAGGGAGGCCTGCATCAGCTCTCTGCTGATAGCACGAAGCCTGCTTGGGATTCTCTCTCTCTCTCTCTCTCTCTCTCTGCCTCTCTATCACTTGTGCTTGCTCTCTCTCTCTCTAAAAATAAATAAACATTAAAAAAATTAAAGTTAGAGAAGATACCAGTAACCAAAAACTTGAAGATGAGTTCTCAAAGTTATAGTTAGGTGCCTATTATTAATATCCTTGTATAGTCTCTGAGGTTGCCCCTTGTTTTTGAGGTTTGGTAATACTGGAAGACAGAAAGACATTTAGCTTAATAGCACTTCATGTTTTATATTCTCTCACTCATTCCACAGCAGAGGAAAGTAATTATGTTAAATAAACTCCTTCCTACAGAAACCCAGTTAAGAGGTCACATTATATTTGAGTATAAACAGAACAAACATCATTTGGCTATTATTTATTGGCTTCCTGAATATTTCCTACAAATCAAGTCTAATTACTCTGAACAGGATTTAAATTTACATCTAAAATTAGAATTCTTACGATTGTCATTTTTTTAGATGAGACTGAAAAAGAGATCAAACCGGTTGACAGTGTCCAGTGTCCATCTCCTGTTCTGTCGACTCCGTGGATACCATTTCAGAACTGTTGCTACAATTTCATGATAGGAAAGACTAAATATAAGTCAGTAACACCAGATGAAGCTCATTCTACATGCCAGAATCTGAGTAAGTATCTTATGTGGTCATTGCATTTATTCATTAAAAAAGCAATTCTCACCCGAATGTGTTACAAATATTTTTAATTAGTACTAGTGACTAGATTTCAAAAATACTCATCTTCTAATTTCTACATGATCAACAAAAAGTATTAAAATCTGTGTTTAGTTAAAATGGATAATATAGGAGTTATTTCTTTACCTATCCATTAGAGAACTAGTCTGTCTTTACATGGATAAACAAAATGAGTTCTACTTTAAAAGACACAGAAATGACATTAACAAGCAGAGAACTAGGTGTTCAACCAAGCTAGGCTGCAGGCAAAGTGAAAATAGGCAAACGTGGGTGGCTGAAATCTCAGATAAATAATAAAAAGCAAAGAAAAGCTCTGCTTAAAAGAAATGCGTATTTCACACTTGTAACTCTCAGGACTCTTCAGATATTCCCTGTGAGATCCACTGAGGCTTTATGACTTCTCTGCAGTAGACCTGGGAACTGTGGGAAGTTCATTTTTTTTAATTAACTTTTTAAAATTTACATCCAAGTTAGTTAGCATATAGTACAACAATGATTTCAAGAGTAGATTCCTTAAAGCTCCTTCCCATTTAGCCCATCCCCCTTCCCAAACCCCTCCAGTAACCCTCTGTTTGTTCTCCATATTTAAGTCTCTTATGTTTTTGTTCCCCTCCCTGTTTTTATATTATTTTTGCTTCCCTTCCCTTATGTTCATCTGTTTTGTATCTTAAAGTCCTCATTGAGTGAAGTCATGTGATATTTGTCTTTCTCTGACTAATTTCGCTTAGCATAATACCCTCTAGTTCCACCCACGTAGTTGCAAATGGTAAGATTTCCTTCTTTTTGATTGCCGAGTGATACTCCATTGTATATATATATACCACATCTTCTTTATGCATCCATCCATCGATGGGCATTTGGGCTCTTTCCATACTTTGGCTACTGTTGATAGTGCTGCTGTAAACATTGGGGTACATGTGTCCCTTTGACACAGCACACCTGAATCCCTTGGATAAATGCCTAGGAGTGCAATTGCTGGGTCGTAGGGTAGTTCTATTTTTAATTTTTTGAGGAATCTCCATACTCTTTTGCAGAGTGGCTATACCAGTTTGCATTCCCACTAGCAGTGCAAAAGAGATCCTCTTTCTCCACATCCTCACAAGCATCTGTTGTTGCCTGCGTTGTTGATTTTAGCCATTCTGACAGGTGTGAAGTAGTATCTAATTGTGGTTTTGATTTGTATTTCCCTGATGATAAGTGATGTTGAGCATCATTTCATGTGTCTGTTGGCCATCTGGATGTCTTCTTTGGAAAAGTGTCTGTTCATGTCTTTAGCCCATTTCTTCAATGGATTATTTGCTTTTTGGGTGTTAAGTTTGATAAGTTCTTTATAGATTCTGGATACCAACCCTTTATCTGATATGTCATTTGCAAATATCTTCTCCCATTCCATCAGATGCCTTTTAGTTTTGCTGATTGTGTCCTTTGCTGTGCAGAAGCTTTTTATTTTGATGAGGTCCCAATAGTTCATTTTTTATTTTGTTTCCCTTGCCTCTGGAGACATGTTGAGTAAGATGTTGCTGCAACCAAGGTCGGAAAGGTTCTTGCCTGCTTTCTCCTTGAGGATTTTGATGGTTTCCTGTCTTACATTTAGGTCTTTCATCCATTTTGAATTTATTTTTGTGTATGGTGTAAGAAGGTGATCCAGGTTCATTTTTCTGCATGTCGCTGTCCAGTTTTCCCAGCACCACTTGCTGAAAAGATTGTCTTTATTCCATTGAATATTCTTTCCTGCTTTGTCAAAGATGAGTTGACCATACATTTGTGGGCCCATTTCTGGGTTCTCTGTTCTGTTCCATTGATCTGAGTGTCTGTTCTTGTGCCAGTACCATGCTGTCTTGATAACCACAGCTTTGTAATACAGCCTGAAGTCTGGGATTGTGATGCCTCCTGCTTTGGTTTTCTTATTCAAGATTGCTTTGGCTTTTTGGGGTCTTCTCTGGTTCCGTACAAATTTTAGGATTGTTTCTTCTAGCTCTGTGAAGAATGCTGGTGTTATTTTGAGAGGGATTGCATTGAATATGTAGATTGCTTTGGGTATTACTGACATTTTAACGATATTTGTTTTTTCTATTCAGGAGCATGGAATATTATTCCATTTTTTTGTGTCTTCTTCAATTTCCTTCATCAGCTTTCTGTAGTTTTTAGTGTATAGATTTTTCACCTCTTTGGTTATGTTTATTCCTAGGTATTTTATGGGTTTTGGTGTGTGGGAAGTTCTTATGGAAAATATCAAACTATTATTCCCAAAAGTGTGCTCTGTAGAAACTAGTCTTGAGAGATAGTCTACAAGAATGAATCCTTCGAAAAAGAGCAAGATTGAGAAACACTACATGTCATTGCTTCCTTTTAGACATTTTGCATAAACTTTAAGAAATACAGGCATAAATGAACTAGTTTAACTTTGTTTAATTAATGTTTGTGATATTTTTATCCATCTAGTCTTTTTCTGAGAAATTCCTGCTAATTTCCTGAGGAAGACCCTTTGGGAAATATTAAACTTTTATAACCCTAATATAAGAGTGCTCTATAAGGAAAAAAAAGAACTATCATATAGACCAGCCAAGAGGTTTTATTTACTATAGTTTTTGACAGTGTGTCTTTACCAATATAAATTTGTACCAGTTTAAAATAAGATTTAAATGGGGGAAAAGTGAAGTTAATCAATGTTTTAAATTCTCTACTCAGCTACTAGTTTTACACTAGTCTATAATTGACATCAGAATGTCCAAATTTAACATCAAAATATTTGAAGACTTATTAATCTATTCATTTTAGTACAATGAGATAGTTTTAATTTATACATCTGTCTTATTTTTCAATATTGTTGTAAAGTTTATTAAACTAGGAAATAAAATTTTCTAAATCTATCAAAGAATTCTAGATAAGTAATTATTAAAATCATCAACTTTTTTTTTATTTAACAGATCCAAAATCACATGTTCTGAGTATTCGAAATGAAGAAGAGAATAACTTTGTTCTTGAGCAACTTCTGCACTTGAATAATATGGCTTCATGGGTCACATTAGGTATAACTTATGAAAGTAAGTTATAAATCTGCTGATTTTCTTTGTTTATAATCATACTTTATTATAAATTACTTATCAAGCTACAAAATTATACTTCTTCAAAGTATATGTTTATCAATATACAAAATTACAATTATTTACTTAGTAGAACTTATATAAAGACTAGATATTTTTGGATCTCTGATCTGCCATTAAAATGCCATTGCCACTGAGTTTAGAGTCAAATGTTTTCTCCACCATTCCTTCTATCAATTTAAGACTAACTCAAAATGACCACACTGCCACAGAAATCTTCCATATTTATTTTATATCTCTCCTAAGTATATGGGATAAGTGAGAATGGAATTATACTTCTATTAATGTTCCATCTTTCAGTTTACAGCATTGGTTTGGGGTATACGTTAGAAAAATGAGAAACAGTCTGACAGCAGGATAGAATATTTGAAATTGGGACTGAATATCACAAGTCCAAAGTATAGTTGTTATGAAATTTTTTAAAGCACAGACCCTAATTACAGGCCAATTTAGAAAAATACTTACTTACAGATGTCCTGAAAACCATAGAAGTTTTGGAATTAAGAAAAATGTCACTCTGGGGCATAATACATCAAAAGCATACATTTACCCAATAAAAGGGTGGGCCTTACTAGGAGATAAGGGACAATGATAGACATAGACAGAAGCTAAATTACTCAAATATAACCATTTTAAAAATAGCCTTCCCTTGCTATCTAAGCTGACTCTTTCTGAGAGTTGCTAAGGGTTTTCTTAAATATTTATGGCTTGCAGATGAGATTACAAAAATTAAGTCTTACCTAATTACAATAAGTAAGACTTAGTTGCCAATTGAAGATGAATTCATCATAATAGGACTTAAGTGCCCAAATCTTTTCTCCAATGACACTTTGAACACCCTTAAAATTAAGAAGACAAAAAAAAAAAAAAGAAGAGAAACTAGGTGTAAAGTTCCCAGACTATAAGCGAAAATGACTGAGGAAACTAATCCTGTATGGACCAGTGGAGACCACACCCAGGATACAGAGATTTCAGTTTTAAATTCGATATACCTTGTTAGTTATATTATCAGAAAGAACTCAAAATGTATTCTGTATTGTGAAAAGCATTTTCAGATCTGTAGACTTCCTTTTAGTCATCTTAGCTTCTTTTATAAATTATATGAGTAACAGGATTTCTAACTAAAATATATAGAAATATGAGTGACATATAGAAAGATGTTTCAAGTAAACAGCAAGTTTAGTTTAAATCTAATTCTTACTGGCTTGATTCACATCCATATATCTTTAAATTACTTTAATCTTAAATAATATTTAATTATATATACCACCTATACAAAAGATTTTGTTTTTTTAGCAAGTTCAGACTTTTAGAAAACAGGGCCATGAATAGAAATTACTAAAAGAAGCCACTTGTCAGCTGAAAGATACTTCAAGCCAAGTGAAAAAGTGACCCTTTTGTATAACAACTTTAGAAGTTTATTGCTGCCCATCATATTGTCCAGACAATTGTGACTTTAACATTTGGGGAGAAGAAAAGAGGAACTGATAGACATGAGGTGATAGAAAGCAGCAAGCAAGAACCAAATCATATGTACAGTATTTCTAGCATGTCTTTGCTGCAGGTAGATGTTTAGGTATACTTCCTCAGAAGATGGTAATCAGGAAAGCTACAAACAATCAGGACAACAATGGGTATGTGTACCTTATAATTATATCACTCTTTATGCCAATTTATAATTTTAATAGGCCTACAACTTGTTTTTCCAAAAGCTTTAATAAGATATATTCCCATATCATACAATTCAGCCATTTAAGATGTACAATTTAATGGCTTTTAATACAGTCACAGAGTTGTGCAGGTATCACTACCCCAAAAAGAAACATACCCCTTAACACTCCTTCCTCATTCCCTAACCCTCTCCCAACTCCCAGCAACTACCTATCTATTTTCTGTCTTTACAGATTGCCTATTCTACACATTTTATATAAATGAGATCATACAATATGTGATTCTTTTTGGGACTGGCTTGTTCCACTTAGTATTTATGCATGTAGCACTGTAGTGTGTATCAGTATATTAGTCCTTTTTATGGCTGAATAATATTCTACTGTATGGATATATCATTTTTTTCATTGTGAATAATGTCACTATAAGCATTCATGTACAAATTTCTGTGTAGATGTATATTTTAATTTATCTTGGGTATATACCTAGGAGAATTGCTGGGTCTTTTTTTAATCCTTTGAAGAACTGACAGACTGTTCTTCTAGGCTGCTATACGATTTTCCATGCCTTCCAATTTTTCTTTTTTTTTTAATTTTTTTTATTTATTTCTAGGAGAGAGAAAGAGAGACAGCGTGAGCAGGGGAGGGTCAGAGAGAGAGGGAGTCACAGACTGAAACAGGCTCCAGGCTCTGAGCTGGCAGTCAGCACAGAGCCCGACGCAGGGCTCAAACCCACGAACTGCGAGATCATGACCTAAGCGAAAGTCGGACGCTTAACCGACTAAGCCACTCAGGCGCCCCTTCAGTGGCTTCTTAAAAATGATTTGTCTAGGGGACACCTGGGTGGCTCAGTTAGTTAAGTGTCTGACTCTACTNGCGGGGCTCGAACCCACGAACCGCGAGATCATGACCTAAGCGAAAGTCCGACGCTTAACTGACTAAGCCACCCAGGCGCCCCATACCTTCCAATTTTTCTATGCCTGTGCCAATACTGCTTTTTACTCTCTTTTATTGTGACCACCCTAGTAGTTATGAAGTGGTATCTAACTGAGGTTTTTATTTCATTTTCCTGATAACTGAGCCACTCAGGTGCCCCAGATCCTTATCCATTTTTTAATTATTTGTCTTTTTATAAATTGTTGAGCAATAAACATTATATATTCTGGTTGTACATTCCTTGTCAAATAAATGATTTTTAAATCTTTTCTCCCATCACTTTATTTTTTGGAAGTAATCTCTACTCCCAAAGTGGGGCTCGAACTCACAGTCTCAAGATCAAGAGTTCCAAGTTCCCCCAACTGAGCCAGCCAGGTGTCTACCCCTCATCACTTTCTTGATAGTATAATTCGTAGCACAAAACTTTTTAATTTTAATGAAATCAAATTTATCTATTTTTTATCACGTGTGCATATCTAGAAGCCTTTGCTTACCCTATGGTCATAAAGACACACTCCAGTGTTCTAAGAGTTTTATAGTTTTAGCTCTTACCTTTAGGTCTATGATCTATTTTGAGTTAATTTTATATACGATAAAAGGAAAGGGTCAAATATATGTTAGATTGACATAAATGAGCACAATTGCGTATGGCTTAGATCCAGAGAAGCGATTTCTATCACTAGTTTTATAATATATTAATTATTTAAATAAAATAATTATATTAATTTTCATTGCAATTAAGCATATATACAGTAGAAATGAATATTTGACTTAAAATAATAAAGCATAAAGTTATTGCAGGATGGGGAAATTATAAGTAAACTTTAATTTTTTGTTTATAATTTGTAATTTCCAAATTAAAAATAAACATAATTTACTGTTGTAGTCAGAAAATATTTTAAAGAGATATACATAGTTATAGAACTTGTTAGAAAGTAGGTAAAGAAGAAAGAAAATTAGTTGAGTTTGAAATATTAACCTCATAACTCTTACTCAAATCTTGATTTAATCTCTAAATGCAGAAAAAAATGATTCTTTTCTAGATAATTCTCTGGTGTGGTCTGATAAGACCATGCTGTCATACACGAATTGGAGAGGAGGAAGACCAGATATAAAAAATGGCAATTTTTTTGCTGGCTTGAGTACTGATGGCTTTTGGGATATTCAAACCTTCAATGTTATTCAAGAAATAATTCAGTTTAACCAGAACAGCATTCTTGCTTGTAAAATTGAAATGGGTAAGTATGCTAATGTAGAATTTTTACTCCATAAGGCTAATTAGCTCCACAAGTGGGAATCATGCAACTGTATTTTTTGAGTGCCTCCTCTATTTTCAGCCCTATGAGAGGTAGTACAGAAGTTACAGAGGAAGGAAAAGATACAGTTCCTGGTGTCATGGTCTTGATCTCAAGGAGTAAAATGTAGTTGGGGAGACAGCATTAAATTCCTTATCATTGTTTTATGTAGGTTACTTTTAGATTATTTGGTACTAGCTTAAATTTGTTGGAAAGTCAAAAGAGATCAATGAAAACAGAAATAATGAAAACAAAATGCTTGGAAGAGAAAGTAAAATTTGGTTGGGTCTTGAAGGATGGAGAAGATTTTTAAAAATAAGAAAGTGTGTTTGGGTAGAGTTTTAACATTCCAGGCTGACAATAAACTTATCTTAAATTTGCCTAATTCCTTAAATAAATCTATGTTAAAATGCATGTCAGTTCTAAATTTTTCACAGCTTAAAAACTGTTTTAAGTTTTAAGACCTCTGCTGACATCCAGGCAGAACTTCTCCCTTCATAGTACCACAGAATAACTTTCTGGAACGCCATTTCCATCAACAATCTCCAGGGATTCCCTACTACCAATTACTTTGAGTCCATGTAAACTATTAAGACTAAGTGTTTCTAGAAACACTGTCTTTTCTAAAATTCTAGGCTTTCTTCCAACCTTGATTTTTCCCCCCATTCTTGGCTCAATATGGCTCTTTTTCTGTCAGGCTGATCTCTTAATTGTCCTGTATACAATGTGTGCTTACCCTCATTTGCACCTTTACTTATGTTTTTTTTTTTTATTGACAAGAAGTCTTCCACCTTTTTTTTTTTACTTCTTTAACAAGCTTTCTATTTTAGTATGATTTTATGTTTATAAAAAAAAGTTACAGAGACAGTACAGAGAGACCCCATATGTACCATAACCAGTCTCCCCATTGCTGTGTTAGTATGGTACATTTGTCACAACTAAGAAATCCAATATTTTGGATTACTTATTCACTAAAGTCCATATATTATTTAGATTTTTAACATTTTTACTTAATGTCCCTTTTCTATTCGGGATTCTATCCAGGATACCATGTTAATATAGTCATCTTGTCTTCTTAGGTTTCTCTTGGCTGTGAAAATTTCTTAGACTTTTTTTGCTTTTAATGACCTTGACAGTTTTGAGGAAATTTTTTTGGTCATGTATTTTTTGGGGCACTTATTTTGTGGACTGTGTCTCACTTTGGGTTGGCTGATGTTTTTCTCATGATTAAACTGGACTTGTGGGTTTGAGGTTTAGGAAAAACCACAGAGTGAGTGTCATTTTCATCACATCATATGAAGGATATATGCTATCAACATGACTTCCCACTGTTGATTTTAACCTTGATCACCTGGCTCTAGTTGTTTGTCAGCTTTCTGACAGTTCGTTACTCTTTTCCCCATTTACATACTGTACTCTTTTTCAGGAAGTCAGTATATGCAGTCCAGAGTTACAGACTGAAGAGTTTTTCTCCACCTTCCTGAGAAGGGTGTATCTATGTAAATTATTTGGAATTCCACTGCACAAGAGATTTTTCTATTCTCATCCATTTTAAAATTTAATCATTCAGTTTTTTATATTGGTATCAGCTCTAATATATATTTTATACTTTGGGTTATAATATATTATACTACATTAATATTTTATTCAAATTGTTCTAGTTTCAGCCATTGGGAACAATGTTTATATATTTTTTAATCAACCTGGCAACTAAACTATTTAAGAACCTATTATAGGGACACCCAGGTGGCTCAGTCAGTTAAGTGTCTGACTTCAGCTCAGGTCATGATCTCACAGTTCATGGGTTCAGTCCCGTGTTGGGCTCTGTGCTAACAGCTAGCTCAGAGCCTGGAGCCTGTCTTCAGATTGTGTCTCCCTCTCTCTCTGACCCTCCCCTGTTCATGCTGTCTCTATCTCTCTCTCAAAAATAAATAATACATTTAAAAATTTTTAAAAAGAACCTATTATATGTGTTGCAGCAATAAGAAAAATAAAATATGCATTTTACCTCCCTTGTTAATAAGAAAAATCCAGTTTTATTTAACTTTAGAAATGATTGCATGTCCAGTCCTACCCAAAATATGTATTTTAAATAATTTAAATTTAATCACTAATACTCTTAATTTAAATATTATAGTTGACTACAAGGAAGAATATAATGCTACTCTGCCACAGTTTATTCCGTATGAAGATGGTATTTATAATGTTATTCAAAAAAAGGTAACATGGTATGAAGCACTGAACATGTGTTCTCAAAGTGGAGGTTATTTGGCAAGTGTTCATGACAAAAATGGCCAATTCTTTCTGGAAGATATCGTAAAACGTGATGGATTTCCACTATGGGTTGGGCTCTCAAGTCATGATGTAAGTCTTGTCTTGTTTTCCAGAAATTTTCCAAATGTGTTAGAAGGTTGGAAATTTGACCATAAGACATTAATTCAAAGTATAACATCAGATTAAGTCCTGGGAATCAATTTGCGAAGCATAGTTCTTCCTTATCTTATCATAAACCAAATAGAAAATTGTATTTGTAGAATGTGTAGGGCAAATGGCCAGGACTGCAGCTGCCGTAGATACTGTCAGGCCATCCCAAGGACCTAGTAGATTTGTATCTTAACACCTCTCTGTCACCTAGTTGAGGAAGACCAATTGGAAAGCTGGTGAAAAAGAATAGGACAGAATCAGAAAACCCGAAGTTCTAGTACTAGTGGTAGGTCTTCCATTTATATGTTTGGTGATTATGAGCAGGCTATTTAACCTTTGGAAGTTTATTTCTTCATTGGTAAAATTGGGGTAATAATATTTTCCTTAATATAGGATTATAGTGAGATTAACACAAAAATTTATATAAGGTACCAAATGTAATTCTTAATATTAGGACTAATAAATGTGTATTTTCTTCTCACTTTCCCCCTACAAGTTAGCACTGTTTGAGAATAATGTTTTGGTAGTAAATACAACTTTTGTGCCTCTATTTGAATCCTATTAATTAGTATATCCATGTACCTATAATAAGGTCCAGTTCCCCCACCCACAAGAAATAGGCATCTATAGAGATCAGAATTGAAAGCCTAATTTAAATAATCTTTACAACAAAGTGGAGAAAATAAAAGAAAGGATGACAAATTAGGATTATAGAAAAAGGAAAAAATCAAAAGTAATTCTCCCATGTGAGTTTCTTGGGAAATATTTTCCTCTTCCAAACCCTTGATGCTTGATGGCTTCTGTAATATGAAACATGTAGCCAGAGACACAAACCACAGAAATATAAAACATAAAAAACAATATTCAGGATAATATGAAGGTTGGTAATACACATCTGTAATTGTGACAAATGGAAGCCATTTGCATGTCATTTAATTTCAAGTATTATATAAACTCATCCTTAAAAAAAATAAATCTAGAGACAGAGTATAGTAACTGTGTATAAATTTAAAGTCCTACTTAAATTGAACCAGAGTAAATGTCTCAAATCAATGCATCAAAAGTAAATCCCCGATTTTACAAATAGGTCCAAACCTATAACAATTGTAAACAAATAATTAACAATCTATTCCAATATTCCTTAAAGTATGTATATTCTTTATAATGCTCTTTTTGAACAGTCTTTTGTCTGGATTCAGGTTATCTCTATTATTCTTTCTTTTAAAAAGGCAACTCTTATGTTAAAAATGTCCTAAGCTTTTTTATCTCTATGATTCTTAAAACAGGGAAGTGAATCAAGTTTTGAATGGTCTGATGGCAGTACATTTGACTACATCCCATGGAAAGATAAAATATCTGCTGGAAATTGTGTTGTCTTGGATCCAAAAGGAATTTGGACACATGAAAAATGCAAGTCTGTCAGGGATGGTGCTATTTGTTATAAACCTATAAAATGTAAGACTTGATTTTTAATAACTATATTTATTAAAATATGACATTTTGTCTTATGCACATGATTAAATACTCAATGAAATTTTTGAAGGTTTTAAATAATGTTTGCTCACAAATCCTATTAAAATGAATTTGATACTTTGTGAAGAGAAATGAACATGATATACCCATATAGGGTATGTACCCAAAGACTTTCAGTTCCACTATCACTAGGTACATATTACTCTAGAATTTGTGAATTTTAGTTTCATTTAGCAATGTTCCTCAAAGGCTGACACTGCTTTTAAAAAAGAGCCTGGGTGGTTCAGTCAGTTAAGCATCTGATTTCAGCTCAGGTCATGATCTCACAGTTCATGTGTTCAAGCCTTGTGTTTTACTCTGTGCTGACAGCTCAGAGCCCAGAGCCTGCTTCAGATTCTGTGTCTCCCTCCCTCTCTGTTCTTCCTCTGCTTGTGCTCTGTCTCTCTCTCTCTCTCACTAAAATAAATAAATAAATAAATAAATAAATAAATAAAACAGTAAAAAGGGGTTCAAAAGCACATAAATTTGGGGAATTCTTCAAGTCTGATTTATCATATTTATGGCTCTGAAGGTTTCTATAGTAAAGACAGCAGTTTAACTTTGTGTAACTCATCATTTTCCAAACTTATATGATTCTTAAAACCTAAGGGAAGAGCCCCTTCCACCAGGGTTGGGCTCATCCTGACAAGTGGAGCCTTAAAGAAGAGCAGAAGAACTAAGACCCCACCCCCATTCCACTCCAAGAGCTGCAGGGGTATGCTGGACAAGCCAAGAGATGGTGGTGGCAGTGGTCTCTGAAGCCTCTGGCTCTCAGTGCTTACCATGCTTCTGTTCCAAAGAATATTCTAGAGAAGATCCAACATTTGGACTTAAACTGAATCAAGCAGAAGATAATGTGAAAACCTTATCTAGAGAAGCAAGTAAATACAAGAAAGGGAGAATGATATCAAGAATAAGAAATAAATGGATAATCAAAAATTGACATCTCAGTTGTTAGGTACAAAAAATGAATGTACTGTTTTAGGAAAACAATTAGAATTCATGAGAATACATGAGATAATGGAAAGGACATCTGTGTTAGCTAACAGACTTTATAGGATCAAGTTGAATGACATGAACAAATACAAATTCAGTGCTATACTGAGTTGAATAGTATCCTCCCATATTCACATCCACCCAGAACCTTAGAGTGCCACTTTATTTAGAAATAGCCTTTGCATGAGGTGCCTGCTTAGCTCAGTCAATTAAGTGTCAACTTCAGCTCAGGTCATGATCTCATGGTTTGTGAGTTTGAGCCCCGCGTTGGGCTCTGTGCTGGCAGTTCAGAGCCTAGAGTCTGTTTCAGACTCTGTCTCCTTCTCTCTCTCTCTGCCCTTACCCTGCTCATGCTCTGCCTCTCTCTCTCAAAAATAAATAAATGTTAAATTTAGAAAGAAAGAAGGAAAGAAGGAAAGAAGGAAAAAAGAAAGAAAGAAAGAAAGAAAGAAAGAAAGAAAGAAAGAAAGAAAGAAAGAAAGAAGAAAGAAAGAAAAGAAAGAAATAGCCTTTGCAGATGGAATTAGTTAAGATGAGGTGATGCTTGATGAAGATGGGCCCTAAATCCAATGACTGGTGCCCTTATTAGAGGAGAGGAGCAGACATAGAGGGAGAAGGCCATTTGATGATGGAAGCAGAAATTGCAGTGATGCAGCTATAAGCTAAGGATTGCCAGCAACCACCAGAATCTGGGAATTATGAAACAGATTCTCCCACAGAGCCTCCAGAAAGTACCAACCCTGCTGACACTCATTTTTCGATTAGACTCCAGAACTGTGAGAGAAGAAATTTCTGTTGTTTTAAACCACCAAGTTTGTGGTAATTTCGTATGGCAGTCCTGGGAAACTAATACAAGAGCAAACATGAAAAACTGACTCTTCAAGAAAAAGGAAAATAACAAGTGTTGGCAAGGATGTGGAGAAATTGGAGCCCCCATACATTGCTTGTGGGAATAAAAAGTTGTGTGTAGCCACTGAGGAAAATGGTATGGAGATTTCCCAAAATTTTTAAAGAAAATTACCATAGAATCCAGCAGTCCCACTTATGGGCATATACTCAAGAGAAATGAAGGCAGGGACTAGAACACCTTTGTACAACTGTGTTCACAGTGTCATTATTCACAATGGCCAAAAGGTGGAAGCAGCTCAAATTGTCCACTGATGGATGAATGCGTAAGCAAAATGTAGTGTATACATTCTATGGAATCTTATTCATCATTAAAAAAGAAGGATGTTCTAACACTTAATACAACATTCATGGATGAATCTTGAGGACATTATTCTTTGTGAAATAAGCCAGGCACAAAAGGACAAATACCATATGACTGGAATTGAATGAGGTACCTGGAATTGTCAAATTCATAGAATCAGAAAGTAGAATGGTGGTTTCTGGGGGTGGGCGGGAATGGGGAGTTATTATTGAATGGGAACAGAAGCCATACTTAACACTTTTGTGTGAGACAGATTTTGCTGTGAAGATATACTGCACTTTGTAAACAAATTACCAAATTTTCACTTGTGGATGTGATTTTTAAAAGTAGTTCTTTATATGGCAAGGTAAATCTAGTTATATAATAGCAAGATAAAAAGAATTGAAAGAAAAACCTTTAATTATTATTTCAAAGTAGTTACAAGCTTGTCCTTGCTTCTTTCCTTGGTCTGTCTCTCCAATAGTTTTCTCATTAGGCTAATTCCATCTTAGAGGGCTAAGTACTTTCTTCTATTTTCTAAGTTTTAAAAATGATATTCCAAAAAGCTAACTAGAATGTAATCCAAGGCATGCCTGAATGGCTCAGTCTGTTCAGTGTCCAACTTCCGCTCAGGTCATGATCTCACACGGTTCATGAGCTGAAACGTGCTGTCAGCTGCATGGAGCCTGCTTTGGGTCTCTGTCCCCAGCTTTCTCTGTTCCTCCTCTGCTTGTGCTCTGTCTCAAAAATAAATAAACATATTTTAGAAATGTATCCTCTTAGAGTATGGGCTATAGCTTTCTCTGGTGTGTGTATTGAGTTGAATACTTTCTTAGCCAGAGGCACCACAGTTTTAAATAGACATTAGTGAAATTAAAAAGTCAATCATTTGTCTGTGAATGTTTACAGTCATGTCTAACATTTTTATAGCTAAAGAGGTGCCTTCTCATACATACTCATCAAGATGCCCAGCAGTGAAAGGGAACGAGTCACAGTGGATCCAGTATAGAGACCACTGTTATGCATCCAACCAGGAATTGCACAGTTTCTTAGAAGCCAAACAGTTTTGTTCAAAACTTGGTGAGTTAAAGCTGGTTAATTTTCTTGGACCCAATAATTTAATCATTGGAATTTTTCCCAAGGAAATAATGACTATATTTTTGAAAATATTTTTAAAACACTCAATATTTGTAATAGCATTTTATAACCTAATTGCCCAGTGGTAGGGAAATGGTTAAGTATTTTATGATACATGAGTTAAGTGAGATATTGGAATAGCCATTAAAATGATCAATGTGAGAATAAGTACATGGAAAATGAAAGTAAGTGGGAAGAAGTAGAATAAAAAATTGCTAAATGAATCATTATGTGAAAATAATGACAAATGAAATGGTTTTAAATATAGTTAGATATGCTTGGATGAAGGGATTAAAGGCAAATTTTTTGTGAAGTCAGTTATGCACTAAATACCAAATTATAGCTTTCCCCACTACTTAGTTATAAATAAGTAAGCTTATCCTAGCCAGAGTAACAAAATCCAAGATGCATGGGTTGTTCATCCATCCTGCAATAGAAATGGCCCATATCCTCTGAACATCATAAAGGGACAGGACTTTTTGTCTTCATATTTAACTATTTTAGAAAGAACAGCAATAATTGGATCTCTCCCATAATAAACTTACTCTATAGTCATACTGTGAAATGACTTCTAGGGATACTACCAAGAGTCTTTCAAAGATCTGCATCCTTGGGTAGCCATTTAGCCAGATTGATGATAGATCTCTCATTTATTTTGCTAACTCTTGTGGAGACATTTGACTGATTTAAAAATCTCCTTATTACTGCATAACTACATGATGGAAATTTGTGTGGGAATTCCTGTGTGGCACATATGTATACACACGCACACACGATGGAAACTATTGTGAACTGTGTATGTGTTCTGAAAGTCAGAAGCCTCTTGCTCCTATACAAGACAAAATAGAAAGCCTTACTGTCATTGTAGTGTGGGAGTTAAGTACTTAAGTCTTAGAGGCAGACAGGTGTAAGTTTTAAATCCTATTCCCATACTTACTAGTTGAGTGATATTATAGAAGTTTCATAATTGCTTTTCTTTTCTCATCTGAACAGTGAGAATGAAATAGTACTTATTTCAAAGGTTGGGTTGTTTTAGGAATGAATGAATTGAGATAATGTATGCAAATGTAGCACAGTGTCCTGCAAATAGAAAGCATTCAAACTAAAATCTTAGAAAAGATTGAGATTGGCTCTCTAACTTTATAACTGGCTAGCCGTATAAACCTGAACAATTCACCTAATCTCCTTCAGGCTCAGTTTTCTCATCTATAAAACAGTGATGTCTTCCCTACAGGATTATGTAATATTAAATAAGCATGTGCACACTGTGGTCGTCTATAAAGGAGTAAAGACTTGCCTTTACCATTCTCCCAGTATCACCACCACAAAAGAAATGCTTTAGTTCAAGTGTAGATAGGCTTGTCACTATTGAAGAGTATTTGATTCTACTTAGGATTTATTTCTAAGTGTAGTTTTTATTTTATTTTCATCCCTTGCCTGATGATGGTGATAATATTATTTTCTCTGTGTGTTTAGGGCAATTTATCAAACTTCAAGAGTATTCAATTCCATACTTATTTAGGAACATATAATGGGCATAACCAAATTCATTTATATATAAAATAATATTAAAGGAAAGGCTAATGCTTCTCAATATCCCAAACCTATTTGCTTTTATTTTCATTTTAATAGAAGCAAATTTAAAGCTAAGCTATTATATGGAAATGGTTGTTGAGGAGAGTATGCTTATATGTCTTTCTACAATCACATACCCACTTCTTATAGCTAGCAGTTCATATACAAAGGTCTCATTGTTAGGCAGTTCCAAGACCAAAAACATATTATCAGGTAAACATTTTAAAGAAACATAACATTTCTCTATATAAGTTTCAATCTAAAAATATTTCTAACTTTTTTAGACTCTATTAATGCTATTCTTTTAAAATATGACACAAATATCAAATTTTAAAAGTATTCTCTATGTAAAGCTTGAATTCCTCAATGATCTTGATCATGATTGATTTTTTTCTCAAGTGGCTGTTTGAGAATAAGCCACTTCCCTAGTTTGCATAAAGCTCATTAGCTTAGGGTTTGTTTTCTGTCAATAGATCATTCTGCAACTATTGTTACCATCGAGGATGAAGATGAGAATAAATTTGTGAGCAGACTGATGAGGGAAAATAATAATATTACCATGAGAGTTTGGCTCGGATTATCTCAACATTCTACTGGTAAGTGACATATTTGTGTGGACAGTGTGCAAAGAGAGTTCCAACCTGTCCTAAACACCAAGTCAGCCTTGCTAAAGAATGTTAAGTGGTAGTTAATTCAAATGCTTCTTATTGATGAATAAGCTAGGTCTGCTGGCTGTTTTGGAGACTTATAAATTGCTAATGAATATGCAAGTGACTTATTAGTGATGATGGAACACACTAATGAAATAGGAAGCCAGATGAAATCAACTGGGATGTTCTAGAGGCTTAAGATACTTGGGTCAACAGCATATTTTTTTCTCCTACAGCAATATTTGTGCCCCACCCCCATGTCCCACAAAGGACCCATGACTTAGTTCCCTTAGAGCTCTAGTGTCTATCAGTCATATTTTTGCAGCTTATAACTCTGTTATTCAGAAAGTTCTCTTTTTGTTGTTCTCTTCCTTCCTGAAATATTTTTACCATAGAGAATATTAATTCTTTAAAAAAATTTTAATGTTGGGGTGCCTGGGTGGCTCAGTGAGTTAAGCCTCTGACTCTCGGTTTTGACTTAGGTCATGATCTCACAGTTTCTTGAGTTTGAGCCCTGCATCAGGCTCTGTGCTGACAGTGAGGAACCTGCTTAGTATTTTCTCTCTCCCTACCCTACCTACACTATCTCTGTAATTTTTTTAAAGTCTATTTATTTATTGAGAGAGAGAGAGACAAAGAAACAGAGCACAAGTAGGGGAGGGCAGAGAGAGAAGGAGGCACAGAATCTGAAGCAGGATCCAGACTTTAAGCTGTCAGCACAGAGCCTGACATGGGCTTGAACTCACTAACTAGAACTGTAAGATCATGACCCAAGCCAAAGTTGGATACTTAACCTATTGAGCCACCCAGGCACACCAAGAGAATAATTAATTAATGGTAATTTTTTTTTCAAACTAGCTTAGTAAAATTGCACAGAATTAAAAAGTATTTGTTGATGAATTTCCCAAGGGATAATGGATTAATCCAAGTAATAATGGGCAAAAAAGATTTGATAAATTTGAAATTGATAAAGAATTAATTAAGAGTACAAATTCAGTAAAAGAATAGAAAGTGTGTTTCACTCATTTTATGCAAAATTGAATTCTAAATAATTGAAATACATATGAATTCCAAAATATTAAGCACTTGTCAAAGTGAATGGATTCAAAATTGGTCATCTAAATGAGTTCTAAATTGTGTTTACACTATCACCACCACCACCAAGATGATGCTACCTCAGCTGGAAAATAAAAATGGAGTCATGGTGGGGAGACCCTCCTGGACCCTCTAGACCCTTCCTCCCCCAGCACATCTTTTTTTTTTTAATGTCTTTATTTTATTTTGAGAGACAGAGACAGAGAGTGAGCAGGGGAGGGGCAGAGAGAGAGAGGAAGACACAGAATCTGAAGCAAGCTTCAGGCTCTGAGCTGTCAACACAGAGCCCAATACAGGGCTCGAACCCACAGACTGTGAGATCATGACCTGAGCCAAAGTTGGACGCTTTACTGACTGAGCCACCCAGGCGTACCTCCCCCCCACCCCCAGTACATCTTTAATGAGAGTTTTTAGTAGGAGGTAAGGATGTTGATGGAGACTCAGGTTTTTAGAAATCTATCCCTCCCACAATGAATATGCAAACATTCTACTTTTTAATCAAAACACCACATTTTATATCAGTGCTGTCTAATAGAACTTTCTGCAAAGATGGAAATGTTCTGTATCTGTGCTATGTAACAGAGGAGTCACTAGCCACATACGGCTATTAAGCACTTGAAATGTGACAAGTGCAACTGAAAGACTGATTTTTAAATTTTTTTTCACTTTTAATGTTTCATTTTCAACAGTGGCATAGCATAGTTCTAAGTAAATGAGTTGTATGAGCCACGTGCCTTTCTACCTTAGAAATTTAGAGATAATAAACTTAATTTCTTTCTTTAGGTCAGTCTTGGAATTGGTTGGATGGATCAAAAGTGACATTTGTCAAATGGGCAAATAAAACTAAGAGTGGTGGTGGCAAATGTAGCATTTTGTTAGCTTCAAATGAAACTTGGATAAAAGTTGAATGTTCACATGGCTATGGAAGAGTTGTCTGCAGAGCTCCTCTGGGTAAGTATGAAACCTATCCTTAAGAACTATTTTTGCAGAACAGGTCGGGAAATAAATGTGCAACTCAATTATGCACAATGGTTTGCACTTAGTCCTGAAGTCCTTATCTAGCCCTTAAAGGATATCCAAAAAACTTGATTAAGCTACACAGATTCTTTCCCTCAGAAAAATAGATTGCAAGAGATAGTAAATGCCAACATGTCTAAGACTCCTAGGTGAAAGCACAAACAGATTAAACTTTGTGTTATTCTTTTCTAAGAAAAACAGAAGCTGCCAGAATATTAGGGAGCTCATTTCTTTGAATATGTTCTTAAGATACATTTGATTCTGTCAGTCATATATGTAAAAGCTCAAAGGTCTAATTCTAGAGTTAGTTTGCTTCCTTTCTCCTCATTCCCATAAAACTCATGATTAACTGAACAACAGTGCAAAACTGGATTTAATTATGTGAAATTAACTGGAAGGAACATCAGTAGGAAGTCACAATTTAAACTTAGGTTTCATCCTGAATTGATGCATAAAATAACCATAAAAATCTTATCTTAATTTCATTTCTAGAGAAAGAGCTCTAAGTTTTTCAGAGCAACATTTTTGAAGATTTGGCATAAAAACATTCTTTTAGTGGATAAATATTAAAGATAAATCCCCAATACTAAGTGACTTGTATCTATATATTCATGCATTGATTCAGCACATATTTGGAGTATCTACTGTATGTCATGCCCTGTTTTCTATGCTGGGTAGGGGGATGACTACTTTAGGTTATCAGGGAAGATATCTAAGAGTAGGAGACACTGAAGCTGAGATTTGAAAGACCAGCCAAACAAAGATCAGGGGAAAAAGCTTCAAACAGAACAAGCTTGATGAGTGCTCAAGAAAGAGCTGAAAGGTAGGCAGGTACCAGATACCCAGGACTCGGGAAGCCAGGCTCAAGAGTTCAGATTCTGAGCTAAGTAAAATGGAAAACTACTGGAAGATTATGGCTGGGTGGGGGGGGGGGGGGGGGTGAGGAGCAGGGTTAGGGTGGTATAAGCCAACAGTTCTGTTTTGGCTTTTTGAACTGTCCATATGGAGATAGATATTCATATGGAATGTCTAGTATGCAATTGGACATATGAAAAAGAAGGGAGGTCAGCTGAGAGGTGGTGTTTAAAGCAAGGGGACAGAATGAGTCCATCTGGGCAGCATGTAGAGAGGGTGCCCAGGAGAGCGTTTGAAATTGAATAGCTAGTGGCTAAATGAAGTCATCCTAAAGCTGTAAATTGGCTTTAAAGCAAATAACACTTTATTTGGCACTGGGTAAGTCAAACACAAAAATTTACAACTTACAGCAATTTGCTATCAAAGTAAGGTAGTATACTGGGAGTAATGTTCTCAGAAAGGGTGATGAGAAGGGAAAGAGAGTAATGATGATGCTCTGAGTTCTTTAGAAGAAAATTGCTAAAACAATGAATAGGATTTGAATGAAAAGGAAAACAATTAAATCTGTAAAGAAAATACTTGAGTGTTTGATGCGGACTTTGAATTCTGTGTTAATGCTATGAAAAAATCAGTACTTATTGTGTCTAATTCATACAGAGTTTACAATGTGACATGCAGCCTTATGTATTAGATCAATAATGATCGTTTTTGTATTCTCTCCTCCAATGTCAAACCTTTCCCTATTCTAGGCTCTGATTACAGAGGAATAACTATCACATTTGCTGTGCTAAGTGTCCTAGCTCTCATCAGTGCGCTGATTTGGTTCCTCTTCCAAAGGAACCATTTGCACTGGGCAGGCTTCTCTTCAGTCCGATATGAACAAGGAATGAATGAAGATGAGATTATGCTTCCCACTTTCCATGACTAAATTCTTCTAAAAGTTTGTTAATTTGCACTAATGTGTTAGGGAAAAATGAGCCTTTTCAGATTTTCCCAGTATCAGTATTTACTCTGTTCTAAAGTAGAAGTCATTACGGGCGCCTGGATGGTTCAGTTGGTTGAGCATCCGACTTCGGCTCAGGTCATGATCTCACGGTTTGTGGGTTTGAGCCCCGCGTTGGGCTCTGTGCTGACAGCTAGCTCAGAGCCTGGAGCCTGTCTTCGGATTCTGTGTCCCCCTCTCTCTCTCTCTCTGACCCTCCCCTGCTCATGCTTTCTATCTCTCAAAAATAAATAAAACATTAAAAATATTTTAAAAAATAAAGCAGAAGTAATTAGTACTTTTTCGGTTGTTTAATTGCAATGCTAGTATCTACAGTGAATTATCCACAGGATGCTATGTTTAAAACTTTACTTAATAGAATGGAGAAGAACCAAAGCTGGGACTAAAGTCCAAGTTATTTGTAGGGTAATAAATTTGATGTGCATTTTCTCTGTACTACTGTAGTTAGTAACTAGGATATGTATATTTTAATGGCATTTTAACTTAAAATTGGCATGTTACCAAGTCACAAGTCTGCCTTTTAGCTTTTAAGAATATCTAGTCTGGGATGCCTGGCTGGCTCAGTCAGTAGAGCATGCAACTCCTGATCTTTGAGTTGTGAGTTCAAGCCCCACATTGGATATGGAGTCTACTTAAAAAAAAAAGAAAAAGAAAAAAAAAAGTTTAGCCTAGTGCAAAATTTGTACATCAAGGTAAAAACATAACTGTAAATAATATCAACATTGTTTTAAAATAGTCATTTGTAGCATTTAGGAGAAATTATTAATGAGATGTGCTTATTTTTTTATACAGCAAAATAATGCTCTTGGCAAGATGCTTCTCATACTATTCCAAACATATTTCATACTAAAATTGGTTAAATGCAAATATTTTGTTTTGCCATAGTTATTCATAAAATGATGGTTTTTAAAGAAGATTTAGGGGGCGCCTGGGTGGCTTAGTCGGTTAAGCGTCCGGCTTTCGCTTAGGTCATGATCTCGCAGTTCGTGGGTTCAAGCCCTGCATCGGGCTCTGTGCTGACTGCCAGCTCAGAGCCTGGAGCCTGTTTCGGTCTGTGACTCCCTCTCTCTCTGACCCTCCCCTGCTCACGCTGTCTCTCTCTCTCTCTCTCTCTCTCTCTCTCTCCTAGAAATAAATAAAAATTAAAAAAAAATAAAGAAGATTTAGTACTTAACATTTTTCTAAAGTATATGGGAACATTGTTTTTAGATTGATTTAGGTATACTGTAGCAGTGTGGTTTTGTCTTTTCTTATATAAAACATTTAACTCCTTACTTCTTTTTTTTTTAGTTTATTGTCAAATTGATTTCCATATAACACCCAGTGCTTATCCCAACAAGTGCCTTCCTCCATGCCCTTCACCCCCCTTCCCCTCCCCCCCACCCCCATCAGCCCTCAGTTTGTTCTTGGTATTCAAGAGTCTCTCATGGTTTGCCTCCCTCCCTCTCTCCAACCATTTTTCCTCTTCTTGTCCTCCATGGTCCTCCTTAACTCCTTACTTGTTAAAGGGAATCAGCTAAGGATACAAGTTCTTGAAAATTTTGCAATTTTTATGCTTTACATGACATGTCAAATTTTTACTAAGAAGTTTGTGTTACTTTGATGCCTTTCTCTGTGAGCTAAAGAGAAAAGAGGTCTATGTATACAAGAAATTGTGTATCTTGCATTTGTAAAACTAAAGATTTTATAATGAAACTCTAAACTTTGTGATTACTACTAACATATTTTAAATGATGAATAATTAAGGAAACACTGTTTTGTGGTTATCACTTTAAATTTACCACCTAGAATATATTTTTAATAGTAGTTTTCACTGAACATGGTATTCACCATTTTTTATTCAGTGTTTATATTTATACTTTAGAATGCTTTTGTATAATACCCGTAGGTTTATTTTAAAATTTAGAGTGTTTATATTATGATAAACTTATAAATACTTTTCAAAGACAGTTTTAGTATGGTACAGTTGTCCTGAAATATCTTTTCCTGAATTTGTTAGACTAGGTCCTCTTGCCCTGTCATCTGTACAATTTTAGTTGTTAAAGACTTTCTTCAAAGAACTAAACCAACTTGATGTGAAAATACAGCTATCTATAGTAGTGATGCTGTAATAAAGTTGTTTCGTTTTTTTGATAAAAGTGTTGTTGATCCTTGTTGAAAAAATATATCTCAAAAAAATACCTCTAGATTGGACTTTATTATGTTAGGCATATAGTATAGGAAAAAGTAGAGTGTGCAGCTGTTGTAATGTGAGGTATCCTTAAAATTTTGTGTACATTTTTAAAAGAATAAACATCATCCTATATCTCTGAATGTTTGATTTGAGTCTCTTTTTCAGATGCCATTGACTCAGCAGTTCTTAGCAAGTCTTTTAACTATTGGATCAGCAGAAATTCCATCTATGATTCACACTTACTTCTCATTCTTAGTGCTTCCTCAGAAGAGTCTCTCCTACCTCCTAGCCCAAGGCATTCATCAGCCACTTCTAAGTCAATAGGTCACATATCTAGTTCCAGGCTCATATTTCTAACTCCCACTGGACAATCTACATGAAAGTCCTTCTCAGCATGACCAGAACTGCCCATATTGTGTTCACTTTCCCATCTGACCTGTTGCAGATGGATTAGAAGAAATGAAGACAGCCTTTTCCAGTCTTCCCTAGCTAATCCAACCCTTACATGTCATCTGACAAAATCAAGCTCTCAAAACCTGGTACCTGAAAAAGCAAGTAAATACATTTAATGATCAGGTGCAAGAGACAAATGTGGAAGTGATACCATTGGTCACCCTATTTTTCCTCCTTTTTCTCACACACAGCATCTTCCCTTCCCTGATCCTTGGGCAAGATGTTGCCATTATCTGGCAGCTCTCTTCTGCAAATGACTGCCATAATGTTGATAAACCCAAATCCTCAATCCATTGCTAAATTTATGCTAGGGAAAGAGATTCAGATTCATTTATCTTAGGTTCATTTAATCCTAAAACCCTCTTGGGGAAATGAAGACTTAATTGTTATTACCTCAATAATTTTATCTTGTTTAAGAAGACAAATTTTAGCTAGATTTGTCTAGATCTT